ACACTTAGTGTTTTCTCCTTCCTCTCTCTTTCTCAAAGACTGACTAGATCGTCGGAGGGGATACGCCGAAAAACACTTCGGCGCCCTTCTAACTTGTTCTTCTTTGTTCCAGGAACCTCTTTCAGCCTTACTGGATCGTTCTTCCGCTCCCCCAGGGTCTCCCGTTGCTGTTCCAGGTTACCACCGGACTTCGCAGGCTGTTCCAAGCAGCGTGGCTGGTCACTCAACTGGCTCACTCGAGTTCACCAAGGGAGAGATCTGTTCTCGTTTTTTATATTGTGCAGGATCTTGCACGCACACCAACCAAATAAAAAAAAAGGAGTAAATATTACAATTAGTATTTAAACTTTGTCTCTTATTTTAAAATGATCTATACATTTTCAATTGATTCAATTTAGGCTCTCAATTATCAATTTCGTATCAATAAAATTCTTTCGCCCATTTCACGCATTAGAATAAACGGAAGTATCTCATGTGATCAACCACGTCATATGCACCAATTTGTTTTAACAGATATACGGCTTGGCTAGGTATTTTTCTCGTATAAAGAGAGTCTTAAGAGTAGATTTTTCTTAGTTGTTTTAACTTAAACTTTGCATATTGTTTTAAAATGATTTCTAAATTTTCAATTGTCTTAATTTAATCTTTCAATTATCATTTTAGGTTAATTGCACTAGAGGTCCCTAAAATATAGAGTTTGTCTCATTTTAATCTCCAACATTTCAATTGCATCATTTCAGTCCTTAAATAATTGAATATATTTCTATTTTGTCCCTCAAGCATACAATATCTAAATTAGTAACGATTATTTTATCATAAATTTATCACATAATAGCTAAGTTTGGACAAAAAATGATTTGGGTAGCTCTAGACAAAAAATGTGTAATACAGATAACTCTTAATCAAAATTTGGATAGCTCATGATCAAAACTATGTAATTTGGGTAACTCTTCGACCATAATTTGGGTAAAAATTTGGTCAAGAGTTATTTAAATTATTATTGTTTTTGCCCATATTTAAATATTGCGTGACAAGTTTATAATAAAAAATTATTAGTATTTTTTTATTGTATATCTTAGGAAATAAGTAGTACACTTTAAGGTAGTAACTGATCAAACATAAGACACATTAATTTAACTTAAGCATAGGAGGATATCGGTGGCCTGGACCTGGAGGTAGTCTTCAACGACCTTATTTATATACACTCACGTAGCCTTGTCTTAATCAGCCTTAATTTCCTTCCTCTGCTTTAACCTCAACGCCAGGCTTGCTGTGGAAGTGGAAGCTGTCTGCATGTGCTTCAGGAATTTCAAGTGACTTCCTAAAATAACATAATAATCATAAAAATGTTAGGGTTAATTGTAAATTGCACCTTGAAAGATCGTTCAAATCTCAATTTACACCCTCAAAGATAAAAATTTGTATCAATGTGCACCCCCAAAGATCAAAAATCTTTTCTTTCACTAATAGGTAGATCGAAATATATAAATTAAAAAATCATGGCCTTTGTCTCAAATTTTCAATGCCAAACAAATGCTAGTGCCAAGTTAGAAGATGACATCAAAGTTGGATATACGTGCATGGGATATTTTCTTTCACTAATAAGTGAAACTGGCACATGCTCTTCTACATGATTGATGGCTCGAATAGTTCTTTCACATTGGGCCTGAAAGGCCGTCAACATTGGCCCCGTGGGTCTTGGGTCTAGATCTGCCAAGGAGATGTAGGATCAGAGATTAAAAGCCCATAAGCCCTTCCCAGGCAGCCCAGTAGATTCAATTTGATGGCCCAAGCTCACCAAACAAAGAACACCTATTGCTAGATTGCTTCAAGAGCAACTTTTCTCATCATATTAATTTGCTTCTAACGTCATATCAATCATTTCAATAATAATAATAAATTGCTTCTTATTTTATTATTTCAATTTCATTTGTAGTGTTTGCAACCAATAGTTACAAATAAAACAAAACATGATCTCCTCCAAAAGGGATAAATTGCCAAAAAAGAAAAAAAAAAAAACTTACGAATGCGTATACAAAAAAAAATCATAGAAGTGGAGTACACAAATATTCTATGGTAAGAAACAAGAGAAATAAAAGCATAAAAAAGGAGGATGAAATTGAAATTGAAATCTTCAAATGCGCTGTGATTAATGAAGTTGATATAATACTTATTTAAAGGGTCGAGAAATGAAATCAATCTTTTAAATCCTATTTTTTCTTTTTTTTTTTCACTCATTTTTCTACCCAAAAAATGGACAAACTAAATTTCTCAGCAGAGATGATATCTCTTCTTTAATTCTCACATTCATTTCCCTCTAATTTTCCACCAAAATGAAACAAAGTGAATTTTTTTTCCTTCCTTCTTATTTTCTTCCCTTTTATTTCCATTCATCTCATTTTTCACCATACCAAATAGCTCGTAGATGAGTTTGATAACTCAACCTTGTTATGGCCTAAGTTGATTCATCGTAAAATTGTGCTCTCAAATTTTATATTAATTTCGTATTAAATTGATGAATCGAGTAAACCTTATCAACATGTGCCGAGGATATACTTCCAAAAAGGTGTCGGTATTGTTACGCCACGGCAATAGTCGGCTTCTTGGTCCTCTTAGACTCTTGGGACATTTTGGTTACAATTGAATACTCACGTCTGACTGGTCAAGCGGCACATTTTGGACCATATTTAGAGTGGACTATGTGTGCATCATGTCGTGATAAATTTATCTTTCATAAATGTCATAATTTCAACATAAATGACATATTTTTGATTGAACCGTGAATAGAATTAGTCAAAATGTGTATAAACTAATTCGGATACTCCTAACTGTTAAACTAAAAAAAAATAAAAAATTATTATCTTTTAAAAACAAACCAGGGTAAATAATCAGTCTCTCTCAAGGATTAAAATACTTATTCCCCCCGACCTCCCTTTTTCTTCCCTTTCCCTTATTGTTTTTTATGGAGTGGAGTGACTTTTAGCAGACCACATGGTCCCGCCATTAGCGAACTAAGTCATGGGTTCTTTTACTTTTATCCTTATCTTTTTATTTTATTCAGAAACTAAGGGAAGGGATGTCTCGACTGAATGTTAGTGGCAAGTTACAATGGAAAAACTGTAAAAGTTAAGGCCTTATCCATCCAACAGAGTCACAGTCACAGTCACAGACTGGTAGTTTTGTCTTTAAATATCCCAACTGCAAGTCAGGATAAGGATATCCGCACACACGAAACAAACAATAGTCAGTATAATACCAAAAGTATTGAGTAATCATAGCCTTTGGCTTAATATATTTACAATCATTGACTGTGAAAAAAATTAAAAATAATAAAATAAAACCCTCACAAGTAATTTTTAATTGAATAAATAGTAAAGATATAATATTAAAAAAAAATTTTAATACCAACTTCCAAATATGTGTGTTTTAGTGACAACACATAATAATAATAATAATAATAATAATAATAATAACAACAACGTAAAATTACTGTTATATTCAATATTTTCTCACGAGTTTTGAAACTGTTTTTGATTTTAAAGACTATCGTTCTACAGCTGATGTAACATATTAACATAAACTTTGTAAAACAGTTAATCAAGTAATGGGTATATGACCTCTAAAGAGAGATTAGGTACAGAGACTCAAACCTTATCACTTACATTAAACAAATGAATAAGAACATACATGACTAAGGATGATGGGAGTACTAACCTCAACCCTCTTGCATAAAAAATCTCAAAGAGAGGTGGGTGAAATGACAATTGACAAGAGATCGAAATTGATGATGAAAAATTTTCACCTAACATTCAGAGGAAATACATCTCCGGCCAGATGGTCCAAAGAAGAAAATAAACTTATAGATAAAGGAATGGGCTAATCCTTATCTACAAGATTAAGTGTTCGAGAAAGAGTGTCGCTTTGCCGTGGTCCAAATGTAATTAAATATGTTCGAGATAAAGTGTTTTTTTTTCTTTTTAGATTGTATTATTTGTCTTCAACCAGATTATGAACAGCTTCAGCTCAGTAACAAATACTAAGGGTTATTTGGATAGATTTTTGGGAAAAATTTGGATTACCTCTCCAAACTCAAACCCTTCTTTACAAAGATGATATTCAATATTAAATTCAGTCTATACTTATACTTGATATGTCCACGAATATATTACTATTATGTTAATATATTTATATGTAAATAACTATTGTATCTCTTCATCAATCTAATCTAAACTCATGTTTATATACATAAAAGATATAATTATTTTTTTGTATATTAAATACATTAACCCTCATCCAACCCCCCCCCCTCCCCCATTGAGTTTGAAAAAATTTAGGGTTTAAAGTCCGAGTCAATAACGGGCTGAGTTTAATAATCCAGATTTCAAAATTTTTATCAATCTTGAATTTTATGCGTCATTTAAATTATTTTTTTTCGACCCATCTTTCAAAACCCTCAATCCCACTTATCAAACAGCCTCTAAAATTTCAGGCTTTAGTGACGCTAAGATCTGGAGAACTGATGGCTGCAGACCTTGAATTCTGAGATTCAAAGTTTATTCTCTTTCACACTCTTTTTTCAATATATTTTTTTCTTCAAGAGTAGGCTTTGATGTAATAGTAAAATTATTTTATTATAAATTAAAGATTACCAGTTTAAATCACGAAAATAATCTTTCTATTTACAAAAATAAGGATAAAATTATATATATTTAACCCTCTCTAGACTCTGTAATGGCGAGAGTCTTGTGTTCTGAATACTTTATTTTTGTCTTTTAAGAGTAAAATTGCACAAAAATCTATTATGAGATTGAATTAAAAAGAGCAACACTGATGCTGATTTATAACTTACATCAAGGAACTCACCCTTGACCTAACAAGGTCAATTTTTATTCTTCTGCCCAACTCATACGGGTCAGGAAAACAGAAAAAAAAAAAAAAAAAAAAACCACTCTTAGAGTAGTAACTCAAACTTAAGACAAGACTTTAAGCAAGACAAGACTACTCTTAGGTAGTAGTAACTCAAACTTAAGACACCTCAGACTTTAAGCAAGACACCTCAGACTTTAAGCACAGACATCAGGGTTGGCAATGAGATATTCTTCCACGAGCTTGTACATATCGGTAGGCGAAGCCGTGTCTTTTCCTGTCTTAATTTCCTCTTCTTTGATCTCAACACCAGGCTTGGTGTGATAATGGCTTGAGGTCTTGCACACACACCCTGTGCCTGATGGCTCAAAATTCACCTCATAGACAACTTTTTCCAGGACGTCCCCAAGGATATCACCCTCGATTAAGGTGTACTTGCAGTGGAACTTGCTTGCATCAAGTTCATCAATCTTGTGCTTCAAGAGCTTCAAGTGACTCCCTGAAATACCACAATAATAAGTAATTATTATCATAACATAACACAATGCAAAAAATCTACCAACTCTCCTAAGTTTATGCGAAAATCTTCCTGTATTCGTGTTAAATGAGTCACTTTTAAGTCAGATTCATCTGTTTTTCTTTTTTTATAAGTCATAACAAAGAATCGGTCCAACCTCATGTTTTTACTCGGATAATTAGCATATTCATAATTGATGCCACTGCTATTTTTTTTCAAACTGTCAAATAATCATTTATCCTAAAAATTTAAGTAATTGAAGAGAGTGTTACTTAAATATTTATACTTTAACACACTTTCTCACGTGCGGACGTGAAAATTTTTTTAATAATTAGGACAGTAACGAGATTCAAACACAGGACCTTCTATTCTTATATTATATATGTTAAACAACAATCAACTCCATGGATTTATACTTCAAGACAAACAGTGGTATTTGTAGAGCAACAAACCTTCAGGGAAGGTGGTTTGCTTAATGCTGCCAACACCACCATCTCCCTTGATAAAGTCGATGCTCTTGACCGACTGAGGAACGAGCTTAGGGATGAGGATGTGGGAATCACTGACCAAAGCCTTGAACAACCTTGCAGGAGAGACGCTAGATTTGTACTCCTCGGTGGTAGTGATGACACCCATTCTTGCCTAGATTGGAGAAACTAAAAACAGAAGGAAATGATAAAAACAGGATCACTTGGAGTAACAAGAGATGAAGTATTGGAAGCGATGGAAATGCATAGCACACTTGGTTGGTATTTATAAAGTGAGAGCAGGGCACTTTGAGGAGGTGGGCTGCAATTCAAAGGGTTTTTCAGACTTTGTATCATAAAATATTTTAAGTTTTTTATTTTATATTCTTAAAAATTAAATTTTTTATATTGTATCCTCAATATACCACAAATTTGTAATGTTATCCTTCTATATTTTTTCAATCAAAAATCAACTCATTAACACTAACAAAAAGTTAATGGAATAATCATATTACAATACTTTTGATACATTGAAGGTATAATGTGAAAATTTTAATATTTAAAAATATAAAAAAAAAATTAGGATACAAAGTGTAATTCATCCTAAATCAAAGTATAAAAAATTGGGAAGTCTTTTGGTCGGTCCCTCGCATCAATTTTCAATATTAAGCAACGCGATCAACAATGGTGGCGCCAACCTTCTAGATGATTGGCGGCTTGAATAGTTTTTTAGGTATATTGAAAATAGAGACACTAAATTAGAGTTAATCGTTAAAAAAATACACAAAAAAAATATAATGCTACAAAATCCTAAATTTTAATACTTATTTTTTTGCAGATACATTATTTAAAATTTTTATATTTTTTTATAACCTTTATATCCTCCTTGATTCATAAATATTTTTTTAAAAAAATAGTGTATTAAATATCTCATAATTTTATAAAAAAACTTTAATATTTCATATTTTTATGTCCTCACTTGATTCACCCTTATTTTTTTTTTGAAAATTGATTTTATTTTCAAATTATATTAATATCCGAACTCAATAACAGTGTAATAATAATAGTGTAATAAGATATTTACACAATATTGTACTATGAATAAATGTCTCATTTGTTTCAATACTTAAGATAAATGTCTTGTTACATTTTTTAGGAAAGAAAATTTTATAAAATAGATATTTACATCTTTGTATCTCATTTGTGTACCTTTTTCTAAAACATTATGTTCTGTGTACTTTTTTACAATTTTGTTTAATTTAGTATACCGATTTTCAAAGAACCCTAGTTTTTTTACATTGTGGGCTTTGCTGAAAGTCCATCAAAATTTTGGGGCCTAAATCTGCCAAGGAGATGCCGGATCGTAGATACAAAGGCCCAGAAGCTCAGGCCTAGCAGGCCTATGCGTTCACTATGATTGCCAAAGCTCGCCTAACCAAACGAAGAGGCCCGGAGCAAAAGAAAGCCTAAAGAAAAACCTATAGCAGATGGACTTGGAGCAGAAAAGACGCGGAGGAAGAAGAGGAAAGCCTTGTGGGGTTCAATTTAAGACAAGCAAGCAACCTGTCCCATGTGCCTAGCACCAAAAAATAAAGAGGATAAAATACACTTCTAATTCTCTAATGTTTACTAATTTGTATCTAAATGATCCAATTACAAACTGTCCAAAAATCATGACAGTTTTGATCAAAGAAAGGCAAACTCAAATTCAAATTCAAAATAAGGCAAACTCAAATTGACAGGATGATAAAATATGATCATAAATCTTTTAAAAGAAAAAAATATGACCATTAAAAATTTAAATAAATATTTAAGTCTGTTTTAATATGAGTAAAAAGTTCTATCTACTTTCATTTGGTATAAGTTTGAATTTTCAGTCTGTTTTTACTCAAATTTAAATTTGAGGAAGGAGTGGAGATAGCCTAACCTCACACGTGTTCACTCTTCAATTCAAAAATGTTAAGATTTGGGGAAAAACAAAAAACAAATTATGCCACCAAGCCCCAACAACTTTCCTTTAAATTCCCAGTTTTTCGTTTCACTTCAGCAGCCTTTTTGCTTGCTGTGTAGGGTGGCTAACCCCATTGGTCAATTTTCTGGTGAAGGGTTTAGTTTAGGAATCATGCTTCGGCTGCCATGAGTCGAGAACAACTAGTTAGAATCTAGAACAGTTCAAATTATTTTTTTTCCAAGGTGGTGATTGAATAGGAGCAAGTATATACTAGTGCAAGTTCGGTATAATTACCATAGTTCCGGGCTCTTTGCCTTCTTGGCATTAGGTTTCTGGGTCTTTGATCCAATCCCGTTGGCTAAGTTTGTAAGTTTGGAATGATTGAATTGCCAAGAAATCCGGCTCTGATGAACCACTGGTGGCAGCGTCAAGCTCATCCAGATCATCAGTAGTGGCAATGTCAGGGCCAGTTCAATAGAATTTGGGGCCCTAAGCAAAAACTGGAACTAGTGTCTTTATCATCCTCCTCATTCTGACCAGGACTACTGAAAGGAGGCCCGGGAGGTGAATAATGTCCTAATAGCTCATCAAGATTAAAGCTTTGCCGCTTTTGGCTCAACTCAGTACTGTTGCAGACCTAGAAAATCAGTAGATTAAAATTTTGACCCTTAGAAAGAAAAGCAGAACGTTTGAACTTCTGGATGTCATATGCATATAAACCAAAAACATAAGAACCACCATTGAATATATCTAACAATTTTAACATTCCGAATAAACATGTTAACTTTCAAAGACAGGTTGGTCTTCTATCTGGCCACTAGTTTGAACTAAACTATGTTACAAAATCCATCTGGGAAATATTATAAGTCGTGATATGGTTGACAAACTATTTTGCAGAATGAAGTTCAGTATCATCCAACATTCCAGATTTAAGATACCGACCAAAATACGGAAGAAAAAGTGAAGACACTTGCTTATATGATGAATTATGGGTTTCTTTCTTTTCAACAACTGAGCTATGTTAATTGGATCCTCTTTTTTCCGAGTACTAGAAGCTTGTTTTTTTTTTCTTGTATGTGGGTGGAAGTTGTGTTTGTTGTCATTTCTAGTCTAGTGCAATCAATAACCAAAAAGGTCTTTAGATCAACTAATAGTGAAAGAAGGAAACGATTGACCCCCCCCCCCAGTAACTTATGTCAACGAACTCATGCAAAAAAAATGAAGAAGAACATCTGATTTTCCTTTTATAATACTACCCCTATTTCCATAATAGATTCCCAGCCACATAAAGGGCTCCTAAGACTCCCCTTCCTCTTCTTAGGGTCGATTGTTTGGCTTGAGCTTGAGTGGTTGACTCACAATGATAGAAACTTTGCCCCACAGCCAACCATATACACTTTCTCATTTCCATCCACATTTGCTTTATCCTTATGGTTGATCTTGATCCCTCCATACATGTTTTTGATATCACAAAACTGAAGTCTAAATTTGAATACTTTATAGTGGCAGTTGCTAATGCTCGCAATTCTGAATCATAGTTCTATGCCATATGCTATAGTCTATGTTTTCAAAAAAGTTTGAGTTTGCTTGATGCAATAAAATGCATAAAGCTGCTATCCACCTGGAATTGCAAGGTTTGACAATAAACTGCAAACCGTACCAAGATCATCAATCAAAAGTATGCCATGATATGAACAATAACAGAAGCTGAATATGCTAATGATGTAGTAAACCACGCTACCTGTGGGATGCTATGGTGGGCGGTTTCTACCATGATGCCACTTACTATATCATTTTCTCCACTAAAACAAGCTTCCATCATATGATGATTGGTGCATTTACCTCTTAAGTTGATTACGTCCCCAACCGGTTTACTACGGCTGTTCGAATCAGTGAACATGTCTCGAAGCTGTGGTTTCAATTGAAATGGGGACGACAACATGCTGCAAGGACTGCCTGATATCATATGCTGCAAAGGTTCTGATTCCAGTTCTTCCCCCATTGAAGTTGCCGTAAGACTGTAAATCGGACACATCAATGCAATACATTTTTATACATTTCACACGTAGTGTAAATCAATGTACATAAGCATAAGACACAGAACAAAGCAAGCAGAATTAACGAACCTGTTCTTCGAGCTCTTTAACATCAACACCATCTTTATTTATTCGCGCAGCACCAAGTTCAACTGTTGCAACACGCTCTGCAAATTTAAATTGACTAACAGTTTATCCAATAGCATGTAGCTTAGGGCATATGTGAACAAACATCAGTGTCTTAGCCTGTCCACCAATAGTGTCTTTGAGTAATTGTGTAAGTTCGTTGTTTCGATAAGGGAAATGTGAATTCTGTTGGGCAAGGGAAGCAATCACATCGCCTAAATGAATCTTGAGAGAGATCTATTAATATGTTGCACCTCCATCAGTCTGTCTCCTGTCACTTCAGACTTGTCCACTCTCACACTTCCTGCCACATCAACCAGATGCATACAGCCGTGAAGAACAGTTCCAGATGTCAAGTCTTGTCCTTGGACAAGGACGGTCAAGCAACTGCAGATTGATGAAAAATCCAAGCCAACAGTCAGAAAATAGATTGGGTGAAAAGCAAGCATGATAGAATATAATCTCACCTGTACTACTACGGTCATTGAGGGCTGTTGCACCCACTGCACAATTCCTCTGTCCTATGTTCATCAAATCACTAATGTCAGATGTTGATGTGAGTCCTATCTGAGAACTGTTTTCGAATTTCCAATGTGTTAAATTAAGGAGATGCGATATTAGAAAATTTGATCACAAATCAGACATTGAATTTTTTACGATCTTAACGAATCGAAGTTTGTTTAATGTTGAATGCATTTGAAAATTTTCAATTCTGACATCCTTATTAGTAATTATACAAGAGAAGCAGACAATTGCTCTAAAGTGGGAATCATATTACTTGAAGTTTCAAGATTTCCACCCAGTATGACAACTTGATGCCCAGTTTGAGTGCTGCAGCTGATGCAAATGATAAAGGATATCCTTTGTTAAGCCCATCAGTAACAAGGAGATCTCTAACTTGCTCATTATAAATCTCAATCATCTGAACTGAAACCTCATATCGGAAAGTGTCCTTTCTCTCTTCTGCGAGAAGAAACAAATCACTCAATGCCCTGTAATTTACCCCTCAATTATGTTCTTCGTTACAAGGACAATAAACCTGCATTTGCATGCTTCAGCAAATTGATAATACTATACACACAGTACCCCAACTTTTGTGCAAATGTCGGTATATCTCACCGTTGTGTAAGTTTTTCCCGATCCAGTTTGTCCATATGCGAATATACAAACATTGAAACCATCAAGAACAGATCATATCAGCGGCTGGGTATCTGAAAATGCCTCTCCTGCCAAGCCAAACAAAAACAGAACCCATACTAACCTTGAGTTGCAGAGGGTCCAAATACTTTGTTAAAGTTAAATGGCCTACGTCCTTTTCCATGCTTTGATGGGGGAATAATTGTGATAGGCCCTTCTTCTATATTATCCACAGTACTCGAACAGTTTGATTTTCCAGCCAAGAAGGGTCTTACTCGACAATAAACCGTAATACTTCCTATTGATAGAAAACCAAATAAGCATTCAATCCCCAACTAGAAATATTACCCTTCAGGTCTTGCAGTTGATTACAAAGCTTGTGATTTTCCTCAAGAACTCTCTGATATCCAGAAGCAGAATGAGCTAGGCCATGGATATGCAAATGCAAGCCTGTAAGGAATTAAGCAAGATGAGCTAAAAAGATGTTATTATGTACAAGAATTGCATTGAATCCCAAATATGTACTATAATTCAAATAGAACTGAAAATTCAACTATGGAAAACAAAAAAAAAAACAGAGCACTTTTAAATTCCTACCAAGATTGTTAACCTCCTCATGAAACTTCATTTGCATTGACTGCATTTCAGCTTTTTTAGTATAAACAGTTTGTTTCAGGCTTTCAGCTCCCACAAAAGAATGTAGCAGCGTGAATACACTCAAATAAAGAAGGTATCTAAAAATAGCAGAGTACTCACCCCAGCTAGATCATACCTTAATTTCCCTTTGTTGGTCAAAGATCATTAGCTACTTCAAAGATCTTCTTTCTAATTCCTCATCAGCAATATATTTCATATGACAGCTTTCCTCTTTCTTTACCAGTCTGACATCTCTTTCTATGAACTTAATCATGTAAAAAAAAGAAGAAGAAAAAAGGCAGATATATGAGCTGACCTTTACATCTTACATAAAAGATGCCCTTTTCGTAGATTTATTGGTATATGTTGTTTTGGGTAAAATGTATTGGTTATGTCAACCTTTAGTGGTATTTAGCAATAATAATTTTAACCTATTACCTTTGTATCACCAGAAATATGTTTGAAAATAGGCATGTTGCCTTGCGAAATAGTCGAATCTTTGGAGTTGTTTTCTTCTGCAAGACAAAAATATATAAAATGACAAGTAAACAATAAGCCCCCCAATAAACACACCATAATGATACTTGCATTCATGGATTCCACATGGTGTCAGCACGGAGATGAAAATATATTTAAGAGATGAAAAGAAGCTCCCACAACACTTAATATTCTTGAGGGTAAGAAGAAGTGGTAATACTGAGTGACAAAAACCAACAAATATACCAATTCAACTTGGCTTGCAATGTGTTGCTCAAACTCCTCCACAACCTTAGTTAGAACGGATTCCGCAAGCTGTTAAAAGCAGAAAGACATTCTAATTCAGTATCAACGATGGTAGTGCCATGATGGCAGTGGTAATTATGCTATGCTTTTACACTATCAGTAGAAACCATTAACAAAGTCCTTGACAAATATCAGTAGTGACATTAACAACCACGAAACCAATTCAACAAAGTCCTTCCACAAACACCATATGTGCACACTTGAAAACCTCATTGGCGCCATGCATGAGGGAATGCTAGAAGTTTGGTAATTTCTCCTCCGACTAGGATAAAAGATCCCATTGAAGAGAGTTGTTCACTGATGAATATGATAGACGAACTGAATGCAACAAACTGGAAATGTACTATATTTGGGTCAATTCACGTCTTTATATATCTTGTATTGGAAGCTCACCTAATTATGATATTAGGCTCCCCACATCAGTAACACACGCATACAACATCATACACAATGTTTTCCCAACTTTGCACTAGGGACTAGGGTCCATGCAACCCTAGTGCAAAGTTGGGAAACCCCAAAGGGAACCATGAACCCAAGCCGCTGCCCCCACCAAAAAACCCCAAAGGAAAATATATGTGCATACAGAAGGCCTGAACAGGGAACTTGGTTGAACTAATAAGATTAAAAGGAATAGCTCCGCGCACATTCACGCTTACAATGGAAACTTCTTCATGCTTCTTATCTAATAGAACCACATGAACAAGCATACTCAAGGAGGAACTAGGTTGCAAAAAAGAATATGTACACAAATGAATCACTGTTCGAATGCAAAAGATGACAAAGGAAAAAAAGAAGCAATCTTCAGTCGGTAAAGCTTACCTCCCATTTTGTTAGACTCAATGTCAGAATGTACAGAGTTCATAGATTTTTCATTCGTTAACAGATTCCTTAATAGGAAATTCGTGAATGGCTCTGAATTTTTGAACACAAGGTGTTTACCAGATGTGGAAGATTTCAAATTTCCAAACTCCATTGCCACCGGTCTGTTTCCAGTCATAAAATGATTTAAGTCCCAAAACACAATTTACTATCCTTGAAGATTTTTCTCCCTGAAAAATTACAAATGGTAATATTATTCGACAGCAAACCACTATGGTCCAACCAAATTTTAGGTGTTGTACACATAAACGTTAGCCCCACAACTATATTGATCTCTACATACAGTGATTACTACACTTGCAAGATCATTGTCTGAATTCACTGTCCTAGCCCAATAAACACTTTTTCCATATCAGATGCTTCAAAGGTAGGAGCCCCATCTCCTGCACAGCTACAAGAAAGTTTCTCATGTTTTCAAAATACTGATATGCAGATAAAGCTGCACCATCAGGTATAAAAGCAGAATTACATGGACTTTCAACCACCTGAAATTGATTGAGCAATGTTCAATTTAAGGGGAAAAGAATGACATTCAACATCACTTTGAACTATTTCTGGTTGTAACAATTTGAGACTGAGGGAGAGAATTGGAGGTCACCTTTGACACAACTCCAGGTTGAATCTTATTGAGTAAATTGCAAAGAATTATTCACTTCTCAAACCAAGCCTGAACTCTTCCTCAGAAGGCACTGCAGGTAAATCTTTCGCCCCAACACCGACATTTTCATAAGTCAAGCAGCAGCCTCATACCTTCTCATTGCTACAAATCGAAGATGGACTCATATTTACTCAAATAATAAGATACAGAATTGGGCAAGAAACGATTATTCTCCCATTTGTAATTTTAAAATTTGAATTCTCAGTCCAAATGCCGAAAAGAAATTGCAAAATAAGACAGCTGAAAATTTTGGTTTAAAGAGAAAAATAATTGCATCAAACTGCAAAAAGACACAACGAAGAACCTGGATCAGAGAGACTGAAAAAACAGACTGCTGAAAAAAACCTATAAAAAAAAGGAACAAATCACAGGTTTGGATCCTTTGTTAGAAACTCTAGAGTCGTTTTGCACTAAAACGATGATGTTTTGTTAAATAGAACGACGTTGTTTTAATCACCAATGGTGTTTAAATTTTTTTAATAGTGATCTTGTGTTGGTTGCCTTTTTTCATTGCCCAATTTTGAAAAGTAATGGAATGCTCATAACATCTGAAAAGAAGAAATTAAAGAAGCCATGCCAAAGAACTGCAATTATGATTAGCCCAAAAGGAGGGAAAATTACCGGCTTCCACAGCTCTGCAGGCGTCTGAATCAAGAACTTGGGATCGAGCCCCGTGCTGCTAGACAACATACATTCCTCCGCCACAGACGTTACAGAGAACTACAATGAATCTTCGGTCGCCATATCAAACTTACCAAAAACGTTTAGAACGTTCAAACTTCCAATTGCAGCCTCAAATTTTCCGATGAAAAAGAATCCTAAGAAATCTGATGATTCTGATGTATTTTCCGAAACAACAGAACACAAATAAAGAAAATCTTTTGAGTTCGTTCCAGAGTAAACAGATAAATAGATATAGAGAGAAAATTTTGAGAAGAGTTGTGAGTGTAATTAGTTTTTACTTTCTGGCTAATACACCACACTCACCGCCATGTTCGCTTTTCGGAACAACAAAACCTCTCGCTCTATGTCGCCTCTGTTTTATAGAGCGGACTGATATATTAACATCTGATCAAAACCTAAGGGTTAGATTGTTTAGCAGGAAAACGATAGAAAATGTAAGAAAAGAAATTTTTTAAATTTTGTATGTGTTTGGTCAGTAAAAAAAGGAAAATGATGGATCTTGCTTAAATTTTTTCATAAATAATTAATTTTTTTCTTGTAAAAAATACAAAAAAATTGTAATCTATAACTAAGTTTGTATTTTAGCCTTATTTTTTTAAAATATTTTATTGGTTATTAATGTTAAAAAAAATTTGGTATGAATTTGATAAATTATATAATTTGATCCAAAGACTTTTATATTGATGATTGTCTTAAAATTAAGTTTCGAGTTTTTTTTTTTAAAAAATTAACTTTTAATTATAATTATAATTTTTTTTTAGATTGAATTAATATAATTAAGGGTAATTTAGACAATTATATAAAATTCTTATAAATTTTTTTTTTTCAAACAATAGAATGAAATTTTTTTTAAATTTTTCGGTAAATTTTTATTCTAACCAAATACATGTTTGAAAATATATTTTTTATCATTTTTTTTTCACTTCACTTTCTATCATTTTTATTTTTCATTATTTTTTTCTTCCTAACCAAACAAACCCTGATATTCATAACATTGAAAATTTTTAAATTGTAGATTTGGTCCTAAAATTGAACCGATAGGTTTGGAATAGCTAAGGAGAATAAAATATTCATTAGAACGGTGATACTACGTGATAATATTGATGTAATATTATCGATCAATAATATCAAAACAAATAAATAAATAAGTCTTACTAGAATTAATAATCAACCCTTCGTGTAAGTAAATAATTACGTTCTCTTTCTTTATGTAAACAAATAACTATCTAAATAGAGGTTTATTTTGTTCATTTAATATTTTATTATTTATTGATGATATCGGGTCAATAACATATTATCTTTACTCTTGACATACCGAGAATGGCATGACAACGGTTTTAGCAACACTACCTTCGGATTGAGCATTGTCCTAATTGTTCACTAATAAATGACTTAATCTAGTCTTATAAAAATTCATATAATTTTGTAATTTTTTACCCGTTACCCCAATATTTACCCCTTGGATTCCTTACCGAAATTGGAACTGCCACATAAGCATATGGTCCCACGTCAGAAGAACCAAACTGAATTCTAGGAAATGAGCCACTCGCACCTGGAGCGCGTGGGAAGTTTTGCTAATCTTAAGGGTAGACAGATTTGACTTTGTTTAACGATTGGTGAGATCGGTACTTAGCAATTGACATTGGACAATCGTTATGGTTTATCTTTTTAGTTTAAACAATTGTTCTACTGAAACTTAATTCAATGATCAATTCAATCCATAACTATTGTTGGTATTGGAATTCATAATAGCAATGAATCCGATTAACAATACTTTATATCAATTTTATGGTGTCGTGAAACAAAATTGACAAAACACAGAATAGGAGAAGCATGGGATCCTACATTACACTATATGAAACATGCATCTGAAAACAAAAGTTGCAACAACTAGCAGTAACCTAAAAACAACTTTAACACATCCCAAAATCCAGTATCCACTGAGCCAAACACTAACTATCAGATAGCAAATAAACCAATAGTTTCAATCAAACCCCTCAACACCCAACAAAATTTCTTCAATTAATTCCTATTATTCACCAAATCCAGAGAAAACAAAATAGCGAAGAGGTTTCTCAATTAACTTTATCGTCATTATCATTGTCAGTATAACATAGCTTTTCACTCTCCCTTGGAAGACATGGCTACAGTACGTTTGATGGAGCCTTCAATTGCTTTCAAGTGTTGCTACAAACTACCAATAAACAACAAAATACACAACCAATCAGGGAACTGTCTCATCCTGTACTGAATAAAGCCAGCAGCCCTAATTAACTTGCAAATAATGTGCACTGATTTATCAATGCAAGATCCCCAAGTTGAGCATATTATCCGTTTCACAATGTGTGAGGGTGTGGATCAGGAGGGTATGAAGTAACAAGAAATCGGTGTATCATCTCGAAACTAGTGAATGTGATTACTGCAGCTGGGGTGGTCCTAAGCAGATTGGTGGCACAACCGCGGTAAAAACCAGGGATGCCCTCTTGCTGAAAGACTTTCTTAATGCAATCAACCACACCAGAGTACCGCTTCTCAGAGTGGTGCCCTTGTTCTTGAAGCCTTGAACGTACAACCTGCATGTTTATTGTACAGATAGCTTGAGCATGTCCAGAATGTTGATAAACCAATCAAGCATATATTAAAGGTAACCGAGCAAAATAGATAGGTTTCAAGTCACTTTGAAGGCAAGGTTTCGTTCAGCATTAGGGAAGTGTTAATCAAAAGGTTGGGGTCAAAAGAACAAGGAGATCAACAGGACAGAATGAGTGTTGGAGTAACCTATCAAAATAATAAGAGAAAAAAAATAGGTTCCAGTAAACGGATTATAATCAGCGTATAATAGCTTATAAGACATAACATGACAGCTTTCGTTGATTGAGAGAATTGGCATAAATGCATGGAATATGATGAAACCAACACTGATGAAGCTGACAACGATGCACAAAGGAAGGAATAGAACATCATGTTCCCACATGTTTGTTGTATTCTAAGAATAGAAAGAAGAATATAACTAGGAAACCAGTATACAGAGGCTCACACCTGCTATGCAAAGACAGAGCTAGAGAAAGGAACCAGGAAGGCACCTATTGTGCTCTAGGTTACAAGTTTGAGAAGAATATATATCGAACCTCATAAAATTTTCACCTTACATAGTCAAATTACAAATGGAAAAATGAATTAGATTAAAATACAATTTATTCTTTTACGTGCGACAAGTTTTCCAATGGTAACAGTAGGTTTGGTGGTCGCTTCAAGATCTTCTCTGTCATAATATAGAGGAAAAGCAAATCACGCTTGCTTCCAGGGACCAACTGGAGACATTCCAAAGGCCCAGAAAGACATTCTTGGAGTTGCATGCATAAGTATTACATATAGACCTCATTCATATAACTAAGGATCAAATCATGCAGTACACAAAGTTCAGTTATGTGTCCTTGGGGGTTTTTGGTGAGACCAAATTTTTTGAGTTGCAAGACCACAGATATATTCTTCCTGTAATACCCATGGGAATTAAATCATCAAATATTGGATATTGTCTTGACACCATACCTCATGTGGATACGTCAACGTTGATGCAAATATTTTAGAAACTGATGACGCAACAGCAACATCACGTGCACCGAGTCGATCTATCGTAGTATTATCTGACATCATCACACAAATCAACAAAAGGAATCTTTTCTGCATTACATATATATAAGATTGAACTAGGTAAATTATTACCTCGATTGGCCAAGTAACTTTTGATCTTTTCATATGTTGGGAATTGGATGGCAACATGACTAATACCAGCCAGTGCTGGCACAAGCCCACTGTCCACCGTACAGAACATCAGACATCACTACAATTAGTTCACAACTAGAAAACCACTCCCTACTATAAAATCATGTAATATTCATGAAAGTCATTACAAACCTGTACAAACCACGAATACCCTCTTCATGAGCAATTCTCCTCAAAGCAGATAGTGTACTCCTGTATGGCAACACAACCGTTCTCATTCCTTGGGTCTGCACAAGGAAAAAATAGGAAAGAGAATATGCTGAAGGCTATACCAACTTTATTTGTATGGATTGTTTACAGAATAAACTAAAAAGCATTCAACACTCATGGTTGACCTACCTAATCAAGGTAAATAAAGGAGACAAAAGTACTAGTGTAATGGTTATTGAGGTCATATATTAGTTTTTCTGGCATGGAATTATTGTGATTGCATGAATAGAAAAATCAACAATGATATTCGAGAAAATAATTTTTCTTCACATTATATTATCATCTAAAGCTTTCTACCAACTGGATCCTAACATGCAAGATTGACTATTCAAAATGTTCAATATCAGGCCTAAAACAAATGTTTTCATGCAATCTATGTTGATAGTAGTGAAAATGCAATGCTGACATTTTTTTTGCCCACTACGCACAATTGTCTGTGTTAATAGAAGCTACAGTCTTCAGTAGGTGATATCATAAAAAGCTACTATGTCCTAGGCAAACTCTAGAATCCACCACTCAAGGGTTAAAGACATAAATCTAGGCCTGGCAGTTAATTTATAAAGGACAATCAAAAGAAATTAGTAAAAGTGTAAGTGTGTGTGTGTGTGTGTGAGCAAAAAGCAGAATTTTCTGTCGCATTACCAACAAGTTGCTTATGAAACTCAGCATCAGTAGTACATTTAGTTGTAAGCCAAATGTGTCATAATTTACAAATGCAACATATTTGATGAACCAAAATAAAGAAGATAATTCGTACAAAATAATAAACCCAATTAAAAGCATAAAAAAGCTATCAACCAATGTGGTTCCCACTTCCCACAATGCAGGATGGTGGGAGGATTAAACAAACAAGGTATAACAATGAAACAAATTAGATAAGGATAGAGCGGAAAAGTTATAGTTTTAAGTCTGATGTATTTACTAATAGTAGTTTCCTATCTAATTAGCATCTATATCATTATGAAGCCAAATAATGACGATTTTTAACCTGAAAAACATACTTGAAGTCTTGTCTTCACAACCCAAAGAGGATTTGTGGCAATGGTTGTCGCAGCTCCAGCACCAGAAGCAGCTATCATATTGGCACCAATAGATAGTTGATGATTTGCATCTAGAAATGCACATCAACAAAAAACACATGAAGCAATAGTTAAAAACAGCAAGGCCATATAAGGAAATTAATAATCAACAGTGACACTGAAAAATATTCAACATATGTATCTCTGAAAACAGTAAAAGGTCATGAACTTACCATCAGAGGAAAGAAAACTTTTGAGCTGCTCATAAATTGTAAAATAAACCTGCAAAGTTATATTGTTGGGCAACTTTAGAAACAGCATGTAAGAATTCTATTAACAAACAAGCAAAAAGACACAAGAATGGCAATACAATTTTGGAACCAATCGAGCAAACATCAAATTCAGAACCAAACAAGTGGCCACCACTTCAATTCTGCATCTTGAGGGAAACAGAAACAGGACAACAGAACGAAGTAGCTCAAGATTTACACACTACATCTACAAAACAACACTTCACCACGACATTAGTTGCTTAGCTCTTTGCACTACTAAAGATCAAGGAGTATACATTCATTCTGCCTAATAAAGGGAAGGTTCTCTTGTCAAAGCACCACAGAGAAACTAGAAGATGGGGTCATTTGTTGTATACAAGGCCATAGTTGATGTGTGTGTGCACGCGCATGCATGAACGATCTACATGAGAGAATAAATAAAGGAAAGTATGGGAGAGATATACATGAGAAAACAAATGAAGGTAAGTACATTCCATTATCATTAGGTCCTTATTATACAGCATACACTATAAGCCAAGCAGCCCTTTCATCCAGATTTAGTTGTCTGAGCCTCCAAGGTTTCTTATGAAGGGCCAGACAGGCTGGAAAATGCTAGAAATAAAGAATTCTTTTTTTTTTTTTTTATATATATAGCTTGAGAGCTCCTTCATATAATTCATGTGTACTCATTATTAACAATGGACTCTCACTAATAGAACAGAGAATTAGGGAGGTTTCTTAATTGCCTGGATGCTCAGTATGTCAAACGATTGTTTGAACTTCAATGATTAATTGTATATATTAAAAATCCCCTACCAATGCGATCTCACCAATTCTGGGGTTTTTCTCGTAAAAAAAGTTCCAGATATCAGAAACTCTCCCCGGAAGAGTTGAACTTACCATTATTCCAGAACGAAATTATTGGATATCTAACCAAGTAATTGAGCAAAGAGAATGAATAAAAAAGCAACTCTGGCGGAAAAATGACTCACCGCCCAGTTTGGAAGTAATGCTAGCACGGTTGGAGAGAGACCACGGTACATTCCACGCAACCCCTCCTTTTGAAATATTTGTTCTAAACTCCCAAATATCAGACTACCTGAACAAGAATATATATAAATTGGCCATCTAAAGAAATCTCACAAGCAACAACATGCACTTTCAGTTTTACTTGATCGGTTTATCAACTTTGTTTTCCCAAAGCACTATAAGTATTAACCTGATGGCCACAAAAAAGTTGATGCAACTTCTGGGTTCGAAATATACTGAGCATACAAAACATTTCTTTCTATTAAGCTCACAACTCAATTCTTCTTCTCTTAAATGTTAATTGTGTTGGGATTTAACTCGATTTAAATCCACTAACAAACACACACAATCGAAGAACAAATTAAGAATATAAAGCAATAAGAAACAAGAAAGAACGAGACACAGATTTTACGTGGTTCGACAATTTGCCTACGTCCACGAAGCTGCAGGGATTTCACTATTGAGAGAGTTAAATACAGAAAGCGGCTGTACAATCCACCACACAAACCCTAATCACCAAAACAACAGGGTTTATATGTCCTACGCACTGGCCCAAAAAATTTTCCTCGGGAGACCCCCACGAGGCTTGTCCATGAGCGCTATAGGCCCAAGCCTTCGCTCCATGGACTAAACCTCAGAAAATTTTCCATTAAAAATCACACAACATTACTTTGGGTCGGGTCATCATCCGGATCACATGTACAAACTAGACTCCATAAAAAAAACCAACAAATTGATTGCCTTTTAGGCAAACTATTCATTGAATGCCACATATGCGCCAAGAAGTGATGTTTTGAAGCAAAATGGTCCAAAGCAGTTGGAATCAATGCCAAAACACTTGAGTACCTTTAACATTACCATCACGGAGCTTTGGTAGGCCATGAACCTGAAACCTAGTCTTGATAACATCAAGAGGGCATACAAATGTAGCTGCTATCACTCCTGCACCAAATTTCCAAATTCAAATAAACAACTCGCAAACGTGAACCATACAGGCATAATCGGATAACTAATCAACCACACAATAATCTTTGTTTCATTTCCCAGAGTCAATTTTTTAAAAAGACAAAGAAAGATTGATAACATACCAGCGGCGGCACCAGCACCAGCGTTGCAGAGGAGTCCCTTGGAACTAGGCGCATGGGTATCGGGTGCCATTGCTGAATCTACGTCTACAACAATCAGATTGAAAAGATGCTGCTGCAAAGTCTTTTAGATGACTGTTCTTCAACGAGTCCTCTGTCAAGAGGGCGATAGCAGAGAACCAGGGTCGCATGGCCAATCGGTAGAGCTCCGAAGAATCGCATCACTTTGATTTCGAACGAGGGTTTGGTTTTCGCAAAATTCTGACAGTGTCTATAAAGAGAAGGTTATTGTTGTTGAGCATCGATGAGATCGAGAGTGATAGATCCCCATGAGAAGAAGAGGTTTCATCTGGTGAGAGAGGGTTGAAGAAAACGTGAGGATTGTGTGTTTTTTCTATGATCAAGCGGTCATGGTCAAAATTTTTATTTTATTGGGAAAAAATACATCAACCATTCAACTTACCGTCTGTCTTCACCAGACGATTCGCCACAAATGGGTCCCCAGTTTTCCAAAGTTGGAAACCAAAAGGTTCTGATAATTACTCAGAATTGCCTGAAACTTAGGGAAAATTTTAGTCGCCCCCTTTTAAATTTATCATATTTTTAAAACATATTTTTTATTATTTAAAACATCATTGACATCCCTTTTAATTTATATTTTAACATCATTAACACCCCAAGCCATTAAACCACTATTTCTAATCAAAACAAATTATCTAAAATATCAAAATTGCCCCTACACAAACGTCAAATAATATGTTTACATAAAATTCGATTAAAATTCAAGTTTATTAAAATTTATTTTTCTACATATTAAAATTTGAGCAAATTAAAATTCGATTCGAGATGATTAAATTTTATTTTTTTAAATATTAAAATTCAAACCTATTAAAATTCTTTTTTACATATTAAAATTCGAGCCGATTTGAGCACTAGCTGAACTATTAGTGTCAATTAAAATTCGTTTCAAATCAATTAAAATATATATTTTTTTTAGTTATTAAATTCATGTCAATTAAAATTCTATTCAAGTTGATTAAAATTTATATTTTACATTTTAAAATTTGAGTTGATTAAAATTTATATTTTTTTATATATCAAAATTCGGGGCTGATTAAAATTTAATGTCAATTGATTAAAATTTTATTCGAGCCGATTAAAAATAAAAAAAATTTAATCGTTTCAAATTTTAATTAGCTCAAATCAAATTTTAATTGACTTAAATTTTAATATGTAAAAAAATTTAAAAAATAGAGGTGGTCTCTTTGAAGATATATCTATTTAGAGGAGATGTTAATAGACAATTTAGTAAAATTACATGCTACTTAATATTTTTACTGTGACAGAGGGTGTTATTGAAGATTCAGAAAATAGAAAGGTTGTTTTTAAATATATAATAAATTAGAAGGGGTATAGTTAAAATTTTTCCTAATTTTTACTTTCTCATTGGCCGCCATTTCATTTTATTTTTTATATTATTAATTTTTTTGCTTTGCTGTTTAATTTCATGGTGCCCAAAAAACTTCCTACCACCTTTATGTTGAAAGATATTCATATTCCGATATAAAATAAAAAAATCATATGCCGAGATAAAGTGAAACAACTTTTAATTAAATTTTGAAACAAATATTAATAATTAAACCGATATAAAATTAATAACTATTGTTAAAAATATAATATGATAAATATAATAATTAAGTGAATAATGTGAGTCAAAACATTTTTAAGAGAGTCTAACTCCCCAAATTTGTTTTTGTACTCTCTCTCTCTCTCTCTCTTTTGTTCTCCATCCGGTGAGGTGCACGCCATTGGAGTATGACATTTTCAATGGCTTCAAGTGCCTTCAACAAAAGATATAAATAAAAGGGGCCTTCAACAGGCTTGGAGTTTATGTTTTTTATTATTTACACAGGTTTGTTATTAGGTTAATAATTGACCTAATGATCATCGCCTTAATTGTTGAATTTTAAGTTCGGGTAATGTCTGATAATTTTCGGGCACATGTCCACGTTATAGAAAGACAAATGGTAAATAGTCATTAGTTGATACAGTAGTAAGGCCCAACAAGGTCCGACATGTTGAGTATGCACCATAGTGCCACAATAGCCACTAGTGCGCGCGACAAGCACCAACATTGTGACATACTATTGTGATAATACCATAGTATCACAACAAGCACCTAGTGTTGCAATAGCATTCCAGTGTAGCAAAGGCACCTAGTACCACAAAGTATTAAGCACCTCAAAATGGCAAAACACATCCTCCTTACATTAGAAGTGGCAAAGCATACCATTGACTAAGAACAAATAAGAGTGGCGGCGCAGAAGTCTGAGGGCAACCTTGGTCCAACTCACTTTCCCTCATTGTGAAAATGAGGTGTAAGGCCTCCCAGTCCATAGCTCACTGCCTACTAAGACGTACTTGACTAGATTATGGATGAACTCTTAAAGTTACTAGAGTAATTGGTTCAGATCAACATATGAGATGTTGAGATATATGAATTGGTGGCTGAATAATCAAAATTATGCGAGTTTCTTTTATTGAACACCTCAACAAAAGGCCTCGAAAATGGTCCAGAGAAGGAAGGGAAAACCCTAGGTAGGATCGTCCTGGGGACACCGTGGATATGGCCTTCTCACGATGAACATCTTTATCTTTGACCTCAAGAGTCCCTTTTTTGACCTCGACTGTTGCACCCTTTCTCAAGGACCACGTTCGAAAAAATATCACATATGCCTAATTAATGATGGGACTCGTAGTTCACGATGAACAACCACTAATATCGCTCCAATTAAGGCAGTTATAGGTCAATTAGGACCCTCATACAAGGGCAGCGACGACCAATCTGACTTGTCTAAGTATTGTGCTATACATACCTGCATTACTTGCCCGATTAGAAACTTGAATATGGTCTAAAAATAAGCACCCTGGTTGATGAGAGCATTTACCTTTTCCACCTATCATTTGTCACTGGTTGGTTCTTCCATTAATAAGTAACTCGAGTTCCTTCCATCCAATTCACTCATCCTACTCATTGATCTGAATATGCTTGATACAGACTCGTGTGTCTGCCTCTTTTAACCACCCATCTATAGATTGTAAATTCAAATATTGTCGCCTCTTTCCCTAAAATAGTGCCTAATAAAAAAAATATAGGCTTTTAATTAGGGCAACAAGTTAGAGGCCAAAGTGCAACCCATTGCGGAGACTACTTGCATCAGGGGCCCTTTTATGAGTAAGCTCCATTAGAGAGAGAAAAACGACCTAGTTGCTTTATTGAGAGATTTCAGTATCATTGAGAATTTTTTAAATAATTGGCTACTATTTTAGTGATTGAAGTGTCAGTCGGCATTGCATAAGTAACGCCCGACTCTGTTTTGCGTGCATCTCTCCATCAGTTGAGTTGGTGGAAGGTTACTTGACCTGGCCTTTAGAGAATAATCAAGTTAGAGAAGCCGGCACACAAGATCCAATCTTTTTTACAGTTCTCAGATAAGTGAATTCAAATATAAATCAAACTAAAATAGCTTGCCTCACTTCCATGCATGCGATAGCTTGTCCCAACAAAAACTTGTCACTTCTATTAATAAATGCACACAAATATACTTGCTTTGACAAACACAAACATATGCTTGTCCCTACATAACCAGAGCCCTATAGGTCCAACACTCTTATATAGAATTAGGTTTAAATACCATTCACTAGTAAGGCTCCACATATAGCATTCCCGATGACAACTATCCTGACCTAGTCATCCATAGTTGTCAGCCTTTCTTACCCTACAACCCTCACTTTCTTTTTCGATTGTTCTTGAAGGTTTCGAGCAGCTCTTTCAACTATTGCGACTGAAAAGGCAGTCAACTTCCTCAACGTTACCACGGGTGATTGATCACAATCGAGTCAACTTTACTCATTGGTCTATGGAAATTCGCGATAATGGGATAAAACTAACCGCATATGAAATTAAAGATCAATTGAACAATATCAACTCTTTTTTTTTAAAACATATAAAGCGAGACTAAGAATAAAAAAACTATTGTGCAAAATAAAAGATGCAAATACGAGCCAAAAAAAAAAGAATAAACAAGTACCATATCATAATAATTTTTTTCAATATTTGTTTACTTTTAAAATATTTTTTCAAGTAAGGTTTGACTTGCACTTTTTATCTTAATTTTTTTCAATATTAGTTTACTTTTAAAATATTTTTTCAAGTAAGGTTTGACTTGCACTTTTTATCTTGTTCGGAATTGCTCACTTCTTTTTAATAACATGCACATATACAGATGTATTTTTATTAATTATGTGTGTGTGTATATATATATATATACATACATTTAGAAAATAACAATTCAATATTTTAACATTCTTTATGATTTTTTATTTATTAAAAATAAATTTTAAATTTTTTACCACAAATATATTATCTTCTATTTTAAAATAACTAGTTGTTGCACACGTGCGGTGCACATGAATTATTTTAACTTATAATTTGTATTTCTATTATTGTTTTTCGTGATATTGTTTTATAGATTTTTCCTTATGGGGTTTCAATTAAGATGATAAATAGATATCACAATTCTTTTTCTAGCATACTACTAAATTGTGACATAATTAATCATTTCTTTTCAATGTTTCAAACTATATTTTAGCAACAAACAGAACAAGAGCAAATGAAGGAAAATAATATGGATTTATGTATAATCAATAAAATTAGAATGAAATAGAATATAGAAAACCACCATTCTTGGTCTAAGGAGGCAAAACCAAAAATAAAAAATAAAAAAATATGCACCCCCACCCATATTTATGAAAATCTTATCATCATTCCCTCATCTAGTCTAATGCTTGCACCAATATCAAATTGCAGTTTACTTAGAATTACAATTTATATTTATCTTCAACATATCCACGACAATAAAAAATTCTAAAATATCTTAAAGGAGAAAAAATCAACAATATCTTAAGTGCACTCGTAAATATTAAAATAATGAATGATAACTTGAATCTATAATCGAAAATGAAAAATTATGATTCAGAAGAGTCACATTTTTCCTCGTCTTTAAAAGATATACCAAGTTTTTAGTTTAATTAATATAGGATCTACGGTTAAATGATCAATAAACAAAAAAAAAACTCTGAAACAAATCCACAACTATAATAATAAACCATAGTTTCCTAGGTTTTGAATAAAAATTAAAAACTAATATTTGGATGAGTCATTCCCGTCCTAAGTTTAGAAGACAAAATAAGTTTTCAATCTATAAAAGATAAATGTCTCCCGTACAATAAAAAGAAAGTTTAGACAACCTTAATTTTGAATGAAAAACTCTTGAAACGAAATAAGCAATATGTTATTTGGACATCATTTAAAAACCTAATTTGAGGACCTAATTCAATAAAATCATTGGATTTAAGTGGGCTCTATCTAATGTTGGAACTCATAACTCATTCAACAATTACATTGAATTAGGTTCCTAAATTAGGTACTTGGACTCACAACTCATCAAACAATTGCATTGAATTAGGTACCTAAATTAGGTACTTGGACTTATAACTCATCCAACCATTGCATTGAATTAGGTACCTAAATTAGGTCTAAGTAGTATTGCTCAAGCAATATAACTATACTCCATTCAACAACACCAAATGCCATAAAATTTGGAATTGTCTTTATTAACCAAAAAAAAAAAACCCACAATAAGAAAGAGAAAGATAAGAAAGATTCCTTATTAAGACTTAAACTCAATTTGAATAATCCACGTCCCAAAAATTTGCGCCCAATACCCATAGAATTTGTAACCAATATTCAAGCCTGTAGGCCACCATTTTCACTTCTCTTTCTCTTTTGTATGGGAATGAGATGTTGCCTAGGAGAGTAACACCGGTAAGGAGAGTAAATGAAAATTGTAAAAAATTAACAAAAACAATTGATTTTTTCATGAGATTAAAACAATACACTTTAATTTTCCCCTTTCTCCTTCATTTACTGTCAATTCCTTGCAAGCACAAATGAACAAAAAAAGAAGTGAAAATTTCTAAAATAAAAGAGGTAAGTTCATTAAGGATAAAGAATTGTGAAGATTAGAAGTACATTTGAGTTGAAAATCGACATTTATTTTCCATATGCTCTTTCAAGAGAAATCGTAAGTTTTCTTACTTAGTTAAAAAAATCAAAATTTAAAATGAAGTAAACTACTCAAGTTGAACGGATCCATTACCTCTTGCTTCTATGTAGGCTGCACCCTTTTTTCTATACAACACTAAGCATTCAAAGCATGGACTATCCGAAAATGGTGAACTAAATATAATTCTCGATGGAAATCTTACCAAAACCATAAAAACAATTAAGAGATGCAAAGAAAAGAGGTAGGGAGAGAGAGGGTGTGACCCTAAAATGCAAGAGAAAGAAGATTTAGGGATTACTTGAGAAGTCAATGATTGAATATGACAAGGTGGAGTGAGAGTATTAGCCTGAGAAGGCGGATGTGACAAAGAGTAAAAATGAGGTGGGAGAGAAAGAAAGAAAGATCAGTGGAGTGTGGATTTGGAAAGTTTAGTAGCTTGGAAAATTACATTATATTTTGTGTTTGAAAAATTGAGAGTTATCCATTACTCTTTGTCAACTATAGAAGTCCAATAATATACCCAACTCCCACAATTATAAATAGTATTAACTTTTCTATTGTAAGTGAAAAGTTGGATAATATGGGTATTAAGTGTTTTATTAAGGTTATTATAGTCAATTAAAATTTTTTCACTTTTGTTGACATTTTATAGTAGTATAGATAAATATAGATTAATGAACTTTTAATCTATATCTAATCCCTCAATTATTAATTTTGTATCAATAAAATCCTTATTTCTATTTCAACTTAATTCGACCGCTCGAGTTACCTTCCGGAAAAAAAAAAATGTGATCGCTCACATCATGCATTACTGTTTATTTGGTAATTGAAAGACTAAATTGAGATAATTAAAATTTTAAGTATTATTTTAAATGGGCGAATTTTGCTTTGTACCCTAAAAGATTTTAATATTTATATTTTTTATTTTTAAAGATTAAATTTTTTATATTATACTCTCAATGGATCAAAAATATTATAATGTAATCCTTTAATTAATTTGCGTTATTTTTTTTCACCAGTGTCAATGAGTTAGCTCTTAACAAAAAAAAAAAACAAAAGTTAAAAGAAGTGATATGCTGCAACACTTTTGATATATTGATAGACCAGTGGATAAAAACTCGAATTTTCTCGCTCAATACTTGAGGTTTGAGTCACTATAATTACTAGAGCTCATTGAAGCTAAATCTACTCTTCAGTGCCCAAAACGTGCATTGAGATTTTAACTTCGACCCCGACGTAGGTGCGGTGAAGTCTCTTACAGATAACTGTATGGTAATGAAGGAAAATGTTTTCAGACGGATATGTAGAGTGATCTATATGTATATTCATTTGTTATACCGAAAAAAATAATGGGACAATATAAAAAATTTAATCTTTAAAGGTATAAATGATAAATTTGAAAATTTTTAGGGTACAAAGTACAAAAAAAGCTTCACATTTAATTTTTATAAGTTAATTATGATATTTACCCAAAGTGCAATAGTTTTGGCGCAAGGACACATGCGTGAATTCAAGTCCCAGTTTGCAAATCGGGCATATTCTAATTGGTCGAAGTCCACAGGCGTCGACAGTCGAGCAAATGCAAAAAATTGGCACATAAGAGAGAGAGAGATAGAGAGAGACACCCTTTCTCGTCTCTTTTTTCTAAGTCAGACTCTTTAGTTTGCTCTTTTCCAATCCTTAGCCTTCAAGCACACCCAGCACAGAAACAGTCGCAACCTCTTAGCTTCCTACCTCTGCATACTCCTCAAAAACCCTAATTCGCACAGAAATTTAATTCTATTTCAGTTCGAATCCATTCCTGATCTGTCAATTTCACAAACTCTCTGTATAAAGAGACGGAGATACGCGTATATATAACGATTACTAAATTAGTAGTAATGTCCAGTTCAGGAAGCTTCGCAGTGTCGCGACGACATGGGGGAGACCGATTTTACAATCCACCGGGGAGGCGGAGGCACCAGCTGCAGTTACAGCAGCAAGAGTTGCAGAGACAGCAACAGCAGCAGCTTACGAAGGCGGCGAAGGCTGAGGCGGCGGCTGTGGAGGCGGAGAATCGGACTGAATCCGTCGATTCGATAGCGACATTGTCGAAAGCGTCCTCTGTTTGCTCTTCTTCGCCTCCGAACGTTACTAACATAGATCGTCTTATGGAATCGGTTACTCCTTTTGTCCAAGTTCAACACTTCTCAGAGGTAGATACGAATTAGGGCTTTTTTTATTGAGAAAAAGAAATGGAAAACCCTAAACCCCTATTTGTTTCTTGACTAATGCCGAAAAAGGAAAGTATTAAGTACACGAATGTTTGATTGTTTCATTTTTCCTTAGTTGAGAGAGCTTAATTTTCCTATCTTTTTTGCTTAATTAAACTGTTTCGCATCGCGCTTGTGAGTATTTTATTTATTGGGAAGCCAAATCAACGTTATTATGCCTGACATAAAAGAAAAATTTTGAATTTTCCTAGCGAGCAGGAAATGTATGAGTTTATATGTGGTTGGTTATTTTCTTGTCACTCATAATGAAAATGTTAATGGGCAGCGTTTTGGTTCACAGGTGAGCGTAAGAGGATGGAGAACTCGAGATGCAGAGTCTCAACCTTTCTATAGCCTTGGGGATCTATGGGAATCATTTGGAGAGTGGAGTGTGTATGGGGTGGGAGTACCGCTATTGTTGAATGGGAAAGACTCAATTATACAATATTATGTTCCATTCCTGTCGGGTATACAGTTGTACGTAGACCCATTGAAGCCCCCTTTAAGGGTTAGGTGAGCTCATTTCTGTGTTTTTTGCTCATGTTAATTGGCCTTCTGTCGATTAAAGATTGCCCTCTTTTATTACTTGTTAATTATTTGACATTAACTATATCTGTTGATATCTTTGCAAATTTAGATTCACTTTTGAGATGCCTTTATTGCTGGTCGACATTGATTGATTGTCTATTTTCTTTCACTTTGCCCGTTATTATTAAGTACTTTTCTTTCTTGAGGATTTGGGAGAACCATGCAAGGGTAACTATGGTACCAATTACTTCTAGCTTTCTCTTTGGCACCACTAATGTCACATTAGAGTTATGTCTCGGCACTAAGATAGGTGTCAAAAGAGATTTTTAATCTTTTAGAGCCTTTTCTTCATTCAATTGCAAGGACATTACACCGTTTTAAGAATTGAAGACAATTTGTATATTAATTTTGTTTGTAGGTAATAACAGGCAGTGCATAATGACTTTTTATAACTGGGGTGTTGTAAGTGCTTGCTTTTTTTGTTCATTTGTTTTGAACTTTTTGGGGCTAGCTCTCATTTTGCTTAGTTGCTTGAATTTAAAGTGAAATTGAGTTTAGGTCTGGAAGCAATGGATTAAAATTTGGCTGCATGAACTTGGAAACAAGGACTAGAAAGGACAGGGAAGTACTGTGGATTGTCACCAGAATTGGTAGCTCATTATGACTACTTGACTAGTGATGGTGGACCATGCAATGAAGTCTGAGAGTGTGAATATGGTGTCTAAAGAAGCTTATTTCGACATGCTACATGGGTTTTATACTGAAAAGCCGTTTATGCTAATTTTGTGTTAGCCAATTTGGGATAGACCTCAAAATTTTATGGGGATTCTGATATTTCTTTCCTATTTGTATGCTTATGTTTCAGACGTGCTCTCCATATAATTCTGATAGCAGTTCTATATCATAATTACTAACTACATTGTATGATGCCTTTATATAAATTTGTTACTTGGTTTTCATGCGCCTCTAGTCCCGGGAGGTTGTACACCTACTTTCTTAATTAGGATGATGTAATAGACTGCTTATTTGGCCACTTGTAATAGTTGTGACTTTTCAGCCATATCCATATTTTACTAGGTTCCTATCTTTAATTGTTTGGTGGCCTTGCAAAAAGAAATGAAATCTTGGACAAAAGTCTGCTTGAGTGCTTGTGCATGTAATTAGAATCTACATAGGGCTTTGAACTTGCACTGGGCATGCAATGCATGGGGAAGAAGTCCGACACTAGGATGGGCGGACTTATAGTGGGCAATGTGTTTCAAAATATTTCTTTAACTCCCGGCTACTCTTAGTACTTTGACAAAGAAGCCCTTTGCGCTTGTAGATTCCAGCCATCTAAAAAGTAGATAGTTATGTTTTCAGTAAAAGACACCTAGTCTTGCTTATGTTTTCTTTGGTCTCCTTAAAGAAATGGTCATAGGTTTGTCCCTGTTTCCTTGATTTGCCCAAGTGCACCCTGGATGCCTTTTTACTGGAGTCTATAGTTGGTATATTTGGGTTGTGCTTTTTAGTGGAGTAAAATAATATTATTCCTATTTTGTACAGAAATGGAGGTAATTAAGTATAAAATTGTAGTGAAGTCGGTTTCTTAAGTATTCAGTTAAGAATGTAAACCAAGTAAAGTGTCTCTTGGTTTTCAACTTCCCTTTTGTTCCTGTAGTTTTCCTTCCATTGAAACAAATATTTTGTTAAAACCAAGTATTTTAACTTGCATTTTTCAAGGAAACATAGGCCGCATCTGTAGAATCCGTTTATGCTTTAACCTGAATTGCTCTTAAACAAACTTTTGATTCAACATGCTATATGAATCATAGTATTTTTAAAAAGCAAGGAATTTTCCTATGGATTTTGGTTCAGTTTCTTCACACAGTAAGTCTGGACATGAGAATTTAAGCCAACGGGATTCTGTTTCCATGATGCTCATTTTTTTGGTACTGATTAATCAAGTATCAATATATCAGTGCTGTGTTTGCATGCTAGCAAAAATAGTTAGTTGGAGTGACCATGGATAGGTTTACTCAAGTGGCTAAAGCAACTTGCAATTGTTTCATTGGTGAGATTTGTTCCTTCACTACTCATTGAGCCTGCATTTCAGGACAAATTGCATTGTGGTTAAGGAAGGAATGTTGCTTACCTTAATGACCTCTGTTCATCCAAGCAAAACTTACATATGTATTTTTTCATTATTGTCATTTGCTCATTGCCTCATCCTGCTATGAAAATTGGTTTTCAGTTGTTGCTAATTCGAAATGGATGTTGATAATTTCTCCTTCACTTCATTTTTTTTTTTTCTGTACAAGATGAACTTTTTGACCAATATATTGCTCATGTGGTAAGTAACCAGATACCTTTACGGGACACTAAGATATATTTTCCTTCTTTCTGGTGAACATTTGCTTATAATTTCTATCAGGAGGCCTGGTGAGGAGCGTGATGCGGAGTCTTCGAGGGAGACTAGTAGTGGTGGCAGCAGTGATTGTGAAGTGGACAGGCGAGTCAAATCCGGTGTGGATGGGTCGTGGAGTCAGCACAACCTTGTGAACTTGAATTCACAACAATTGAACAGACTCTCATTGAGAGACAAATCTCAAATGAGCTCATCTAGTGATGAAGCTGAAATTTGCAATTCACCTGGGCTGCTGAAATTTGAATATTTGGAACAAGAACAACCACATAATCGCAAACCACTAACTGATAAGGCAAGTTCAGTTCTTTGAGGTTAGAAGTTTAGATTAGTTTTTTTTTTTTTGTTTCTTTGTTCTGAAATCGAAGCTGTGGCGCATTCCAACTTACCCCTACAGGTTTCAGTTCTTGCATCTCAATTTCCAGAGCTTAGAATGTACAGAAGCTGTGATCTACTGCCTGCTAGTTGGATGTGTGTAGCTTGGTATGCTTTTGTCATGCAAACCTAGTGACAATTTGAATTCGCATTGTGATTGAGATGCTTACTCCTCTCATTCTTGCAATGAAATTCATGTTTGATTGCAGGTATCCAATATATAGAATACCTATGGGACCAACACTACGGGATCTGGATGCATCTTTTTTAGCCTTCCATTCCTTGTCAACTCATTCCAGATGTATCTCTCTCTCTCTCTCTCGTGTTATGAATTAAAGCTGCAGGACATCCAGTGAATTGAAGTCTTTGTTGGAATCTTTTGTGATTTGTGCAGGCAATGGTCAGCCACGGTTTCATGGTGTGAGTGGTCGAAAGCTCCATGGTGTTGTTGATGCATCTTCAAAGATTTCTCTACCAGTATTTGGCCTTGCTTCATACAAGTTCAAAGGTTCAATATTGACTCCAAGTGGACCTTCCGAAGGGGAACAAGAGAACTCTCTTTTGCAAGCTGCTGATGATTGGCTTCAACATCTGCAGGTTGTTCTCCCTGATTATCAATTTTTTCGTTCTCACTACTTGCCATGGAGATGATGAGGCACAAAAGTTTCTTGATGTGCCTTCATTTCTGTCCCTAATGACCGTAAGTTAAAGATACCAGTTTTGGGATGAGAAGTGTTGAAAGCAATCTGCCTTTGATAAAAACTATCCCTTCCGACCAAACAGTTTGGTTGAATCATTTGCAGTGTTGTTTTATGCTTTGCCCTCCTAATATGTAAGGTTCCCTTAAAATGTATTAAGCATTCAAGAGATTAGGGAAAACACTTGTGGGTTTTGGCCAGGCTTGCTGACCCGAAAGGATTGGATGATTCAACCAGATTGCAGGGGAGTTGCAAAGCTCAGTTTTGGGCTGCTATGCCCTCGTTTTCTTGTTTTGAAGCATGGCCATAGAAATTCAGTCAGAGCACCGGAATGCAGATGGCCTCTTCCTTTTATGTTGTGTTGGGACAGCAGAAACTGTTGTCGATCTTTGCGGTATGGGTAGAATTGCTGATTCTGTTCGGTCAGTGCTCAGAGAAGGTAACAACTTATTGTGATAGTGATGAAAAATTGAACAATTTGTACTCTTAATTTGCATACCAAAGTTATACCAGTAGATTTCAAAACAGGTTCTCTTTGAAAATATTTATACTTATGCTCCAAATTTGTGTAATATTGCATATTACATTTGCATCTTGGTTTTAGGGGTCTCCATAATTGGGTTTTATGTTGCAAAGTTGCCTACCTTCGGTGACTTGCGGGTAGAGCAGCAATCTGAGAATTTCTATCATCGTCACAGTAGGTTGGGTTATCAGAACTACCAATGGATACTGCAACCATGTTAATGTAACGGCCTGAATTTGGTAAACAAGTTAAGGGTGTGACTGCTATGGTGTTTTAAAGATGACGAGAGCCTCTTGCTTTCACTTTTAACTGTAGAACCAGTAGCTTGTTTGAAATGGTCCCTATGGAGATATGATTAGGATCAACTCATTTCGTCACCTCGCTAGATGCTCAGGCAAAGCCATAACCTGATCATTATCAATTAGCTATTTTTTTAAAAAAATAAAAACCTCGACAAAGGAGGGAAATTAATTAATATTCAACAAAATTTACACCTAGTTAGGGGGTATAGGGCTAATAATCGAGCTATTCGAGTTCAGTTTAGAGAGGTCTTGACTAGAGCTCAGTTGGTGTTTTAAACTATCTGAACTTGAACAATTTTTTAGGTTCGTTTCGAAAACGAGTTTAAAAAACTCGGTTCGAACTTGCAAATCTCAATTTGTTTATATGTAAAATAGTCAAACTATTTAAGCTAAGTTCAAGCTTGACTCTTTTTGAGCTTGACTCATTTTTAAACGAACAGAAATTAAATAATTTTTTTAATTTATTAATTCAAGATGATCAGTGTGTTAAGGGAGGGATATAGAAAAATCCTACTTTTGAGTCAATAACTTTTTGGACTCTTCGAAACGAATGAAGGAATCCCTCTTCCTTAAAACTTTAACTTCTCTTTGATCTTGTAATTGGCAAAAGATGAGCTTGGGTAGAAAGAGAACTCGAAGAAGTAACCTCATTTGTTAGCCATATCATTTATCAAAAAACATGTAAATAATGTAGTGTATATAATCTCAACTTGCGATATTAAAGATTACTCAAATTTTAATTTACATTTTCAAAATTTAAAAACATAAATTTGTATCAATGTGCACGTGACCAACTCTATCCATTTTGCTGTTAAAAAAGTTTTGACTAATTATAAATTTTACCCTTCAAAATTTAAAATTTTCATATTTATAAACTAAAAAAAATTTCATTCATTAATACTTGTTAAATAGTTTTCAATTGTATTGTATCATAACATTTTCATGTTATGTTCAATTTAATAAAAAAATATTGTTAATTTTTTTTTAAAAAAATATAAAATATATATTTTTTGCTTGCAATACTCGTTAAATCTCTATTTTCTGTATACAGTTAAATACAAATCTTTTAATTGTCCGAGCAAATTAAAGTTAGATACAAATAACATAACTGTAGACAAAAAATAATTATTTAACCAGTATTATAGGCAAAAAAATATATTTTTTTAATTTCTAAAAAATATTAAATAGTATTTTATGAATTTTCGTAACTATGAAATATATGACACAACACAATTGACTCGACACGAAAATATTTTTTGTGTTAAAAATATTTTTGTATTGACTCGAACACGACATGATAATGTTATGACACAATACAATTGAGAACTGTTTAACGAACACTAACGAATTAAATTCTTTTTGAAACATAAATATGAAATATTTAAACTTTGAGGGGTACAATTTATAATTAATCTAAACTTTTTTAACGACAATATAGATGACAATTAGTCTCAGGTACATATCGATACATATTTATATTTTTTAGAGTGTAAATTAATATTTTTAAATTTTGAGAGTATAAATTGAGATTTAAATGATCTTTTTGGGATGCAAGTTGAGATTAGCCCAAATATTTTTATCACCATATAATTCTTTATAATTTTTATTCAACATCCAAAGTGATAGGATAAAAAACATAAAAAAAAATTACAAATTTCGTGCATCCCTATGAACTAGCTGGCCGTAGGGGACTGCTATGCTTTGTTTAGTACGAGAGACGAAAAATTAGAAGGATAACAAAATATGAGAAATAGACTATCTATCCTTAGAAGAAAAAAAATATTTTTTCTCCTTTGTGTTTGATACATAGGTTGAAACGTGACAGTTAAAGGAATTAATTTTTTATTGTTTCATATTGAAAGAAAATTGAAAGGAAAGAAAAGATACACATTTTTTTTTTGGAGATGTACGTATATTTAATTTATCATTATACCCTTATATATAAAATAAATTTATTATTATTAATAAATATTTCAAGATTTAAAAGTTTTAGTGTTGCTTAATTTTGTTATAAAAATAAATAAATATTAATATGTATACCGTAAATAAATATACTACCATGAAAAGTTTCCGCCCATTTTTGAGATGAAAAATTTTAATGGGCAGAAAGAAAAGAGATTTTCTCCCATTTTCCTCCTACTTTTCCTTCCTCTATTTTTTATCCACTCAACTTTCTATCGTACTAAGGGAAGAAGGTTTGACATCGTTCAGATCCATTGGACTGAGCACAATCCATAGATCTGCCAATCAGATGGCACATAATTTAGCTCAATAGACTAGTTATATAGAAGATTATAAATGACAAGAGCATACGCCTGAGTTTATATTAACACTTTTAATTGAAGATATTTGAAATTGAATAAAATTCTATCGTCTTTTTTTTGGAAAAAAAAATAAATAAAAGGACACAGGGACAGGGGGTGTACAGCACTACAGCTCCTTTAACCACACATGATCAATGCTATTTTGATAGAAAAACATGGAGCAGCAGTAACGGGCTATTTCTTATCCTCTGCCCCCTTTTCTAAGGATAGGGCCTTGTTACGGTCGAGGTTAGCGTGGTATTCCAGCAACGGAACAGTTTCTACCTTATCCAGGAAATTCGTAACCCTAATCTTGCCGAAACCTCCCCTCCACCGTCTCTGGTTGAGATTTTTCTCATCAACCAGAAGGTGCGTTTGATTGAGCTTTCTTTTATATCTCCGAACCCTTTTGTAGATAATCCAGCTTTGAATGTGAAGTTTGGTTTTTTTTTTCTTAATGTTCCTGTGATGTTCATTTCCCATCTACGTCTATGTATTTTGTCTTTGTTTTCCGATTTGGGATTTTGGCGATTGTTCATTTAAAAAACTTTTTATGGCAATCTATTTATACCCGAATATATTCTACTATTGATTTGTAAACATGCTGTATGAAGTGGGTTTGGATTTTTTTTAATTCTCTTCTCCTTCTTCTTTTGTGGGGATGGGGTATGCTGGATTGGTGTCTAATACAATTTGTTGCGAGTGTTTTTGGGTTGTGTAAAAGATGGGTTTGGTTCAATTTGGGGTTGGACTGAAAGAAACCAGTATTTTCTATCCTCTGGTTTGCTATAAGGGGTACTTTTTTCTTGTTGAGGATTTACTTTATTTATATTTCATGAAAAATGTTCCATGAAGCTATTCATTGTGAACCAGACATTCAAATGTTCTCATTCAAAAAAAAAAAAAAAAAAGACATTCAAAATGTACCTTTCTGTTGGATAATCTAATTTTGAATCGTGGGGTTGCTTCAGGGTTGATGATGAAATTTGGATTCTTGTAACAAATGCTTAAAACCAACAGAGATCAGTGGATATTAAGATGTGCATGTGTTTAAAAGTCTTTATTTGCTGGTAATGGAGGAATATGATGCATCAAACTATTAGTTTGTAGATAGCATGTAAGTGAGCTAGAAAATTCTTGGGCACAAACCATGCAGTAGCTCCCCTCTCACTATAGTTATCCTTATTCCTTGGATGACATAGAATTTGCTTTGCCTCAAGAGAATTGTATAGCTTGTGATACAAATCAAGTGTCCATCCAAAGACTTATTTCATGGGAAACATTAGCAAAAAGTTTGCTTGGGTTCATTGAAGGATAAATAGTTGCTCAGCTGCATTTGGTACATCTGTGAACCTCAGATTCACATTCTTATAATTTTCAGTTGATGATAATTGAAACTTGTTTACTTTACACCAGTTCTTTTTTTTTTTTTTGATGAAGTTATCATCTCATGCTTGAAAAGGCCGGTGCTTGCATATCTGCATATATTTGATTACGTTGTAAGTGTAAATCATGGACATAATATGCCATGGTTTTATTAGGAAATGTGATTATCAAGATGATAACATGGCTATAATTATATAGGGTGTTTGGTCCGTAATTAGTGTCATTTAACTGTGATCTGTAGCATGATACATAGTCTTATTGATACCTTTGTTCAGTCTGTAGTAGAATGGGAACCCGAGCTCGAAAAGGTAGCGATCGTCTGAGAACAATTTGGACGCCAGACATGGATCGCTATTTCATTGATCTCATGTTAGAGCAGGTCAGTAAGGGGAATAGAATTGATGACCATCTATTTAGCAAACGAGCATGGAAGCACATGACGTCATTATTCAATGCAAAATTCAAGTTCCTATATGAAAAGGATGTTTTGAAAAATCGTCACAAAACAATGAGAAATCTGTATAGGGCTGTAAAGAATCTTCTTGACCAGAAAGGGTTTAGCTGGGATGAAGCACGGCAAATGGTGACCGCTGATAATAAAGTCTGGGATGATTATATCAAGGTACAGTGCTTGAATTTTAAAACTTGTAGAGATTTCATGATAAAGCTAAAAGTTTGCAGGTTATCTATGCAGATACACCCAGAGGCTCGATCGTACCGAATAAAAAGTATCCCATATTATAGTGATTTGTGTGAGATATACAAACAGGCAACCAACACTGGTAAAGGTAACCTTTCTAGCCAAAACGCCAGCCTCGACTGTATGGTACCAGGATCAGAGGCTGGTAGTTTGTTGGAAGGTCCAGAGTCTCCTGTTACCCCCTCTGATGACAGGGAACAAGATGACAAGTGGGTGGAATCATCCACACATTCAGATGGGAACACAATCGTAGCAGTCAGTCAGCCAAGCAATGTTGGTGAGGCTGCTTTTGAGGCTCTTCATGATATAAAGATTGATGAAGATTATGAAACCTCGGTGTCAAAAAGAACTGTTGGTGACCCACCTCAACCTGCACAAGATATGGGCTCCACAATGGGTTCTCGTACGAGGACTTATTGGCAACCACCAATGGACCGTTATTTCATTGACCTCATGCTAGGCCAAGTGCAGAAAGGGAACCAGATTGATGGTCTATTTCGGAAGGAAGCCTGGACGGAGATGATTGCATCTTTTAATGCTAAATTTGGCTTTAAGTATGACATTGATGTCTTGAAAAATCGATATAAAACTCTGAGAAGGCAATATAACGTGATAAAGAATCTTCTGGAGTTGGATGGGTTTGTATGGGACGACACACGTCAAATGGTGACTGCTGATGATTGCATCTGGCAAGATTACATCAAGGTGCTATTCTGTTTGATTGGGTGTGGCATTACATTGAAATAACATTTTTTTTTTGAGAAATTTGACTGATCTTTGCATATAGAAATTAAACAGGAACTGTTTTCCTCTTAACAACAGCTCCACTTTATATGATATTGGCATTTGAGGTGGGAATCCCAAGAATAAGTCCCCCTCCCCTTTTTTTTTTTTTCCTTTCTTCTTTCTTTTCCTTTTGTTTGATTCCTCGTCGGCCTTTTAAAATTGCCTTGTTTTACTGTTTCTAAAAATTCGTAATGATCATCTTTTGCTTGTTCTCTTTGTTCTTTTCAAAGAGTTTCAGCCATCGATTTTAGGTGGACTGAGTTCATCAGGTTATCTGATTTTATTCAGTGATAGATTGTAAAGGGCCACCTAAATTTTTTAGTTTCTTTTCATAACCTTGATGATATTGGTGATGGCTCCATTTTACAAGATTAGTTTGTTCTTGTGGGCTAAGATTGTGATTATGCGCAGGCACATACAGATGCGAGGCAATACATGACCAGACCAGTGCCGTACTATAAAGATTTGTACGTGATATGCAGAGAACTAAGTGTTGATGGAAGAGATAGTATTTCTGGCCATAATTTAGACCAACTAAATGAAGACCCTGAGGTCAGGTTCAGTAGAGCAGTAAAAGGTTCAGACTCTCCAGTTCCATCAGTTTCTAATGAAGATCAAGTTGGCGATGAGCAGGAGTCATCACATATGGTTTTTAAGATTGATGTTGCTGATAGAAAGGACAAGCGTCAATTAGTAGAATACGAATCAAGTTCTAGACATTCCAAAAAATCACGAAGCAACGACCAGGGCATGGCTATTGCTCTTCATGAGATGGCAACTGCTGTTTCTTCCTTGACAGATAAGAGAAAAGATGATGAGAACTCAAACTCCATCCCGATAGAGAATCTTATCGAGGCAATCCAGTCCCTACCAGACATGGATGAAGACCTTGTGTTGGATGCATGCGATTTTCTGGAGGATGAAAAGAAGGCAAAGACATTTTTGGCACTTGATGTTAAACTGCGGAAGAAGTGGCTAATTAGGAAACTTCGTCCAATCCCATAGTATCTAGCTGGATTCGTAATATCAAATCCTATCTATTTGCAAGATCGTGCATGGGCTCGTAGGAATCTAACTCATAGTAAGCAAGAGCGCGGGGAAGGAGGGAGTGGGAACCAGAAAGATTCCTACGACAGATCCGAGCCCCCCAACAATAGAGCTTAACAAAATTTGGAGGTTAGCCTTTTGTCGCGCCAGGTCTAGCAATTAAGTAGTTTTGTGTTGTGAAGTTTGTAGTTTGATAGTGGCTTTTTGTCCGACTGAACAGTATAGTTGTTCCCTCCCCAAGTAAACACTGTTCAAAAAAAAGAAGAGTATAGCTCATCGTAGTGAACATGGGATTTTTACTGCCTAAAAGACTCAGTTTCAAGAATGTGGTAATTAAACAGTATAAGATGCTGCTGTCTATTTTTAAGGCAGTGTTTATATAGTGAAAAAGTTGTGGACATTGTGCACATGTCAGGGAAATGATCACTGGCCATACGGGGTTGGCCTGTATACATCTGTGCTCCCCAAATTCTATAATAGTGAGAACCTGAATGAGCATTCTGCAATTAGGCATTGCAAAATCCAGCCAAGGAAAGTGACTATAGGGGAAAAATAAACCTGACTAAACATTCTGCAATTAGGCATTGGATCGAACTACATGTAACAAGTACCCCATGATTGGACAATAAAACTATAACGCCTTTGTGAGAGATTATATTTCGATCATATCTCCATTATTCACAACAGCCTTGGCCCAGAAAAAGAAAAATGCAATAAGAGTCTAATCTTGGGTTTCAGCCTAGCTGATTACATTGGCTTGTTACATGCATTTAGATTCAATTCCTTCCTCTACCCTGACTTTTGTGCCAACATTATCAGCATATTCAGCACCCAACTTTGACAATGAGCTTCTCTGCTAATGCTTAATAGTTGGAGACCACGGCTAGAATATTGTCAGTAACTAACTTCAATCACGAGCTTCACCTGTTTATAGTTGATGTTGAAGACCACTGCAGCAACATGTCTCGGTCACAGGTCATCGTCCAGAATCGTGGAGAATAATAGGCCATGCACAAACTCACATCTATGGGCCTTTTCCTCTTGAGCCTTGTCTGATAAAGATGGTTGGATGTTTCTACTGCTACATAGAAACAAGACAGCTTAAATTAGATAAGCCGAATTATTTATAGTACCTCTAATATTTCAATTACTATAAAACAATCCCTGACACTTGAGAATGAACAAAATGTGAATCATCGAGCTTAGGGAAAACGTAAGATTGACATGCCAATACAGAAAGGCACACAAGTGTGGCAGGTAAAATAAAAACCGCCAAATGGTCTAAGAAAAAGGGAGCCCCAAAGTTCAAACTAAACTAATGCCCATCAGTTGAGGAAGCAGGTTTTTGCGGCTAAAACCTCTTTTCTAATTGAATGCCAGTATACTTGTAGCATCACTACCAATGCAAGGATATTTAAGGGAAACCGAGCATAAACAAAATAGAAACTCTTACCCTGTACAAGGACTGTCCAGAGTCTTAGGTTTTCCCCGATTTTGGGATCAGTATGAATATGATAAATATGCACCAAATCATTGAAGAGTTTTTTGTGGAAATTTTCCACAAACTCTTGTAAAAAAATCCTTAATATCCTGCTTATTTTTATGACAAATCAGTAGAAATTTCAAAAAGACCAACATATCCTGCTTGATACCTGGAGCCTGGAGCCTGGAGCCACATCAATCTTCTCTCTCCTAGTAAATGATAATAATAATGACAACAACCCCCCCCCTCTTTTCTAAAAAAAGAAAGAAAAATGACAAATTTTAATATTGATGCTGAAAAATTAATGCTGGTTTGATACAGCGGTAACAGGGGCATAAAGAAACTCCATTTATCTATGTATAGAACACCCACAAAAAGCTTGAATCCACAGGAATATAAGAAGAAACACTCAGAAAAATATATTACTGAAAGGCACAATTTATAGGAATGCCCAGACCTGTAAATATTACAAAATGGACTAAAAGTTACCAAAAACAAATAAAAACAACATAAATCAATGGTAATTAGGAGATTTGGCATGATTTAGAAAACTAATAATCCTAGAATAAATATTCTTCAAAATTGTTGGCTCGATTTGGATCAAAACAACACTTGTCCTCTCTGTTATGTTACCACCTTCCGTTGTATTTCAAATGTGGGACGGTCTTCCTGCTCCAAATAATCTGTTCCACCCTACCTCATGGTAACCATTTTTTTCCCTCCTAGGTTCCAAATAATTAAGGACTACATCCCAACTTTTATGCCATTTCCATGTTGCTCGTTCATAGTACCTTTACTCATCTCACAATAAAAATCAACATCAAATCAAACATTTTTCCACTTTCAACTGTCTGCAGATGCACCCATTGCTTTCTGGTATTCCTCCTATATCTTTCAAACCCATACTCACAACTCACATAAACCATCAATAATCTAAAGACTCAAATCCAATTAAATCAGCACATCCTAACAAAGGCCTCAAATAGAGCTATCCCTACAACCTGCAGAGATATGCACTAAAACTTCCTAAAATATTTCATCAGAACTAAGAATATCATCTTCTCATGGTTGTTACTTGCCATATATGCGGCCACATGCAAGAAAACCAGATATATCTCAGTTATATGCAATAAACTTGTGTTGGCAGACTCCACATAAGGATTTTACTCAGAATACCTAATATCAAAGCAACTGTCCCCTGCAACTCTTAGTCCTTGGATAAAAAGACAACCAATGGAGATACTTATATTGGTGGAGTAAACTAATTCACAGTCCAGTTGGCAAAATAGGTGTTAAAAATGAAGAAGATGGGTGTACAGCATCAGGATACAAAAGCATCTCATATAAATTGGACTGTTTATCCTAAACTTAGTGAAAATGAACAAAATCCTTTGTGAAAGATCATACAATGGAAAATTGTTGGCCAAATACTGATGTACTGGAATTATCGTACTTAAAATGTGCAACCACCATTTTTATAAGTTCTGTCAAACATTGATATCACAGATCATCACCTCCATATTCTCCTCTCGCCAGCTCAAACCTTACGAATCATAAATATTAGCAGAAGCAAGAGCACTAGAGCATCAATCCCCTTGGATTCCAATAATTTTACAGCATTCTACAAGTTCTAGCACCCAGAAGCAAGGAAAAATATAGATTAAAGAGAGGGTTTCATCATATAATGTTAACTAATGTCCATAAGTTGCTACATAAGCTATGCTAAAACTTAATTTCTTTATATGAGGCAATTTTTTTCCCCTGATAGAGAGAAACCACATCACAAACATGAAGTAGATGAGTTATACACATGTGCCCATGATTCTTTTCTATATAAATAATTTCTGAATGTCATTGGGTAGCAACAACTACAAGAAAAAAATTGATGTCAATCTTATGAGCATACCATGTATCACCATGCTTTGATTTTATCAGAGAACCATCTCACTGAAGAGCATAAGAAAAAAACTTGTGCATATACATGCATACCCAACACAAAGCTGAATAGAACTTCTACCCCAAAATTTAGAAAGCCAACCCCCAAAATAGACTTCTTTATATATCGCAAAAAGACAGAATAAAGTATTATCAAGCATGTTCTAAAATTACCAGGTTTAAGTTTCATAGTTGATTAGAGCCAATATTTGAGGTAACTAACATAAATGGTAAAAGACAGAAAGTGGATAATTCCCCATACCTCTCTAAGATATTCTCATTTGAGCTTTTCTCTGGTAGTCTTGCTTGAGTTGAAGAACTAGCATGTACACTTACAAACTCATCACCAGGTCGGGGGTTGTAGATAAATGACAAAAGCAGAGGATCAGGAGCCATGTCAGAGGAAGAAACAACACGAGAAGCCCCCTCTGAGATAGATTTTAGATATTTATCCAGCAAATCCTTCCTCAATAAAGACAGTGCTGAACGAGATTCACCATTACAAAGTTTCCTTTTGCAAAGAGCGTAAACTTTAGTCAAGGAATCCAATGAACAGCCTCAACTCATCCATACAGTGAATACAAAATAGCTCACAAACAAGTAGTCAAGTACAATAGGGACAAGATTGGCTGGCAAACATGGTTAATTAACTTCAAAGACACACGTAAGCTAACAAAGTTTGAAATTTTGAAATGACAAAGAATAAATAGGTACCTCAGAGGCATCCAAAAATCGAAATGATGAATAAAGTGGTATCAAATGAGCTTCAAGAATAAAAATTCCCCACAAATATATTCTAGTTGTTAATGCCGAAAAGCAAATATATAAACCACCTTGTGATGTTAGTTACTTGAATGCATGTCTGATAATAATCCCGGTTTTCCAAGATTACAAAGCATCAAGTCAATTTTAAAGCAAATATACTAATAATATGGAAATTTAGCGTGTTTTCTCAAGGTTAAAGTCAAAATGGCAGTCACGAATGATTATGCAATGCCCATTGACATGTCATTTCATATGTCACTTGCTCCTTAGAACTGACTTGTTTACATAGCAAACATATTTAAAGTGGTTTTCCCTTTTAGCAGTAAAAACTAATAAGTCACTTAAAACATACAAATACAAAGTGCAAAAATCTAAATCAAGCCAGATAATCGTATAAAGGATATCTTCAAGAAATTTTCATGACGCGTGATTATATGTGCAGCCATGTTGATCCCCACCTCTGTAGCACAAACGGGACAGATCTGCAGACAAAACAAACTTTATCATAAACAAGGTGCACTTTAGAAAGCCAAATAGGAGTCTAAAAAGAAGAACATCAAATGAAAACTATCTATAAACTTCAATATGCATCTGCTTAAAATTCAAAAAACAAGCATGCTATATTGTAACCTCAACAGTCAAGAGTTCCAATTGAGGTTGCCTACGTCAATTTCCATTACTATTGAGTATTGACAGGTGCTGCTCTTACATGCATGGCTTACACCATAAAACCATTCCTACTTGGCCACCTTCACAACCTTCTTCCTTCTTCCCCTATGTTATAGTAAGATGGGGCGGTTCCCTTGAGTTGCTCAACCGCCCCTTAGCCCGGTGCTCATGACGCCCTATGGAACTGACTTGAGAAAATGCTGGGCTAAGTTGAAGTTCCTAATCTCGTGTCTGAAACTGCAATTGGTTGGATATAAATTTCACCTAGAATAAACCAGGTTAACATAATTTATCCTCCATAACAACCCAACTGATTTCCAGGCTGATTTTTTTATTGGGTTAGCCGTCTTCTTCAAATCCCCCCCCCCTTTCTTTTTTCTCTCTGTACGTAAAATTTACCCTCCACATTAAAAGCGTCACTTGGCAGAACTAAATTCCATATTGAATTAATACTTTTGGAATCAATGGTCTAGTTTCTCTAACACAGTAAACTGCTTCCACTTCTGCACCCTATACTTCACTGTGTGGACCATGGATTCCCAATTTATCACCCCACAAACCGAGTACTGTTCTAAATGTTAGCAAATAACCCAAAGGAGCAAATCTTGACAAAATCCCACGAGTGCACGCGAGAGATATAGAGAGGGGCAGATTATTCAAGTTAATATAATTATGATGAAAATCAAAGAGAGAAGTAGTACCCTAGACTTGGCCTCCCAGTGATGCTTGTCGTCAATGTGGCAGCACAATTCAACCAGGTCGAAGTCCTCTGAACAAAATGGGCACGCCAATTCCGATTTCCCATTATCATCGTACTCGTCATCATCATTGTCATCTTCATACTCCTCAAACTCTTCCACATCTATGTAACTATCTGCTCCAACATTCAACATGATTCGCCACTGATTAGATATGTATAACACATAGAGCATCTTAAATTAAGGAAAACAAAAACCCAAAAAGATCGTGTTAGTAGGTTCGCGTGCGTATGTACACAGAAGGAGAGAGAAAGTCATCGTAGTCGCACACTCACCGTACGGCGGCTGACGAGTGTGTTTCCCACTTTCCCAGTCATCATCCATGTGATCATCCATTGAAATTAGCTGAAATAAGTATTATACACGATATATATACGTAGATAATATATACACCAAATCTAGGGTTTCAGAGATCCCCTCTATCTGTGAAGGAAGTACAGAAAGAGAGACAGCAGCGGAAAACCCTATTGGGAAAGAGGGAAATGGGGAAGTATCGATGGACCTTCGGGTTGTGACTAGTATTCTTAGCGGACACGTTCTCGATTCACAGTCACCCACGGCCACGGGGGACTCCCGCGTATTTTATCAACTCCTCACAAAGTCAACCCCACAGGCCCGACTTTTTATTTTAACCAAGAATGCATCGGCGCGTTACACCTAAATAATTTTTATTCATAAAAATTAATAAAGTATATTAAATATATATATATATATATATATATATATATTTAAATTAAATATCACCTCAAATTCACCAAATTTAATTTTTTATTTCTCATATTCTATTATAAGATTATAAAAATTTTGTATATTTTCAAAATAGTTTGTTCTAGCTATAAAAAAAAGATAAAAAAATAGTTAAAGTTCTATTTTTTTTTTTAGAATTTTATGATTGTGATTAATTTTTTAGTAATATTTAAAAATTTTAATTTTTTAAATTTCATTTAATTGGATTCCACGTGTAGTTCCTTGAATAAGATAAAAAGTAATTGTCAATATACTAATCACATTAGAACCTTACTATAATTAAGAATTAGTTAGGTCAATTGAAATAAGATTTAATATACTATTCTATAATATATATTATTAAGCATATTAAAATTCTAAAAAAAAAAATTTTACTTAAAAATACAGACTACAATTTCTATTTTTACATAAAATCTTAGTATAACATAAAAAATTTATTGTAACCGAAGAATTATACTGATGTAATCTAAATTAATTTTAAAAAATTATATATGTGATTATTTTTTATCTTATAAATAAAAAGGATTAAACTTTTCGATAAAAAATAAAATACACATATATAGCCATAATGTTATATTTTCGTATGAGATGAGTAATATTAGATTTATGAAATTTTTGAAGGCTTTTGAACACTTTATTGAACATAAATTATGCATATTTTTTAAGAGTAAAATAGTCAATCAAAAAGTTTTTATAAAAATTGATATTTATATATAGAGAATAGATAATTAAAAGAGATGTTATAGATAATTTGAAAATTTAAATATATAAAGATATGATATTAATTTAAATATTTAATTATAAAAATGATATAATGGTTTTTGTAATCCTTTATAAAGGTAAAATATATATTTAAATTTTTTTCATATTAAAATACTTTTATTAGTAGTATAAATAAATATAGATACACCAAAATTTAATCAATTTTTTCCATTTTTTTCCATATATTATCACTTATTACTTTTTTTTTGTCCAATGGTCAAGAGTGTTTGAAATAGTTTACACGCACATCGACTAATCTCTTTTCCGATCCTATTAAAAATAAGTCATTTACACCGGAATTAAGATATTTATGTGAGATAAATCTCTTATGGCTTGACCCCAAAAAATTGTTAAGATTCGAACTCAAGACATCTGAATTTACAGTTCGTCTCTATTACTAAGGTGATTTGTAATCTTTTACTTTTTGTGTTTCACTTATAATTTATTTTATTTTAACTTCGTTTTCAATTTTATTATAAATAAAAAATATTGGCTAACGATTATATTAAAAATAAAATAAAAAATAAAAAACTAAAGATGAGTAGTTTTTTGTTAGGCTTTTTGCAATTTATATTCTAAAAAATTTCAAGTTTCTTATATTTTATTTTCAAATATTAAATTTCTCATATTACAATTTCAATATATTAAAATTATTATAATCTTTCTATTAATTTATATTATTTTTTAGCCAAAAATCAACGGATTTATATCAACTCTTAGTAGAGTCTTGTTTTTGGACCCATTAATAAATTGTATCATTGTTTAGAGGATTGACCAATATGGACATGACTAGTCACTTTTTTGATACAATATCAATCGACGTTTTCAACAAAATTACAAGGCTCATGCGATTCATCTGAAACATTTTAAGTCAATTTCTATACTTTTGAGTTATCATCACACAATCAATCAATCGCGTTAAATATATCTATGCATGTTCAATTTTTTTTTTTATTATAAAACATTTCGTGTGCCACAATTAAGTGTATGATCTTAAATACGATTCGTGAAATTGAGATAAATTTGACATGAATTTAGTGGGTTTAAGTGTATCCTTAGCGGGTTCGAATAATTAACGAGTAACTCGATTGACTCATGAAATAAATAAATCAATTTCATGTTTAACTTATAAACTCGTTTCAACCCGTTTAATCCGTTAATAGTGGCACTACAAATTCCTCCCCCCCCAAAAAAAAAAAAGAAAAAAAAGAAATTAAGGTAGCATTTGGTAACTCAATGTTTTTATTTTTTTTTCTATTTCTGTTTGTAATTTTAACAATAATATGTTTGATTTATGTTTATGTTATTTTTTAGTCAAGTTGTTTTGAAAACAAGGGTGTCACACCCTTACACCGGATCACATACGGTGGGCGGCGGATCGGTCACCAAGACTTTAACTAACCAACCATGTGCATAATAAATGCAAAATGCAGTAAAAGACAAATAATAAAGTGATTTTTTATTGACCTAATGAAAATCAGATGAATAAACTAAACATCAACATTATTACTAATTCTAAGTAAAACAATAATTAAACCGTCAGGTTCATTACTCCAAATATGAGTAACATTATTCCCAAAATAATTAAATACTTGTCTTAAAACTACAAAAAATATTTACTCTTGAAGACCTACTATACAATAAATCTTCAAGTCTTTTAATTTCTTGTATATCCGCAGACTTACTCCTCATCTTAACTCTCTCCTGAAAAATGTTAAATGTTTAGATGAGCACAATGACCCGTGAATAGCAACCATCTCTAATGAGGTGTGAAAATAAATCTCACAACTTATATACAAAAATAAAATTTGATACATACATAAGTACAACAAAGTATAACTCAACCCCTCTCACATAATCATTTAAACAAACTGATCTCATAATTATAAATAACTTTATAAATAAAAAGACATTTATAATCCAAAACACCCAATTATTTTCACAAATAACTTTATAAATGAAAAGACATTTATAACTTAAAACACCCACTCATTTTTACAAATAACTTTATAAATGAAAATACATTTATAAAGTTACCACTAACCTAGTAACTAGCTTCATCTTTTGTCATCATTAACCTAATGACTGGTTCTATTTCTTGCCATCACTAGCATGATGACTGACCCCATCTCTTATTATCACTAGCCTGATGATTGCCCCATATGTGCACATCCCTATACCCATCACACCGGTATACAATCTCATTACCATTTAGACCTGGTAATCCAGTCTCTGTCTCATAATCATGATTTTCACACACACAAAAACTGTAATTTTAGTCTCAACGAACACAAAAATTCCCTTTCATCATCAATGGAATGGTATAAAATCATCTCACAAGTTTTTCAAAGTTCACATGTATAACAGTTCGCAATTGCAATCTCAAACATCAACACATATATCATATATATAAAAAATTCACACACACGGACCCACACATTTAATATAGAAAATCCTCTTAAAATAAGTAGTAAAATACTTACCTTGATTCCCAAAATTCAATTCAAAACCATTTTTCTCAACCTCAATGCAATTATCATCTAATCCAAAATAACATATAATAAACAATCCATATTGCTAACTTCGTCATTTTGAGATTTTATATTTAATTTACGTACTTCCTACCCATTGATATATACTTAATATATCCTTTATATATAATTATTCTTTATAATATGAGGTAATAGGTTATAAAAGTTGTTTGGGCTATTTAAAAAAAAATTTCTAAAGTTTTGGGGTCAAATCATAATTTTTTGAAACTTTTGAGATCAAAGTGTAATTTCTTTAAAAAAAGAATTTTTTTATTTTCATGGCTGCCATAAAATTTTCAAAACTCTATTCTTTTAACTTACCAAGTAAAATAGTGATTAAGATTAAATTTAGAAAAATATAGAGGTCAAAATAAAACTCTTTAAAACTAAATAAGATGTTTCTATAATTTTAAGAAATTCATCTTCTCTGCCCACCCAAAGTTACATTCTTCTTCCCCTTTGCTTTCTTTTTTTGCTTCATTTTTTTTAACATATTAAATAAATTCTTTAAAAGCTTCATGACCAACCACTCTAAATTAGGTCTAAAAACATCTAAATTAGCAACTTTCAATAAAACCCATATATATATATATATATATATATATATATATATATATATATATTCATACATTGGATAGATCCAAGCCCCTTTATTTCTATCTTTTTCCTCCTTTCTCTCTCTCTCTCTCTCTCTCTCTCAATATATGCCTCTTTCTCACCTTTCTTTCTTTCTTTCTTCTTATTTTTTTTTTCTCTTGCCCTATTTTGACTGCCTACATATATATGTATACAAAGTAAAAGAAGCCCTAAACAAACTCTACAATTCCTCAAATTCATTAAATATATTAACATCCATTTCTAAAAAAAAAATCACAAATTAACCTAAAAACTAATATTATATATATTTTAAATTTGGGATATTACATTCTCTCCCTCTTAAAAAAATTTCATCCTCAAAATTTATATATCTTTTAAGAATAAATAGGGATATTGATTTTTCATGTTTTCTTTAATTTTCCAAAGAACCTCCTCAATTGGGTGGCTCTTCTGCAACAATTGACCGACAGAATGATTCTATTACCAAAAATTTATTGGCTCCTCAACATAAGTAAGAGTTCTATTTAGCTCAATAGGCTAATTCAACCAATATATTTGAAGGATCAATTGTATACAATTCCTAGTCATATTGAAAGAAAATATATTGTGAAATCAAAACAAATCTGCTAATAGAACCCACTTTAAAATTGTAACAACAATCCTCTCTATAAATTCGTATGTCCATTTATATCTTAGACTAAACTTTCCTTCGAATTTCTAGTACACTAGCGCGAAGCATAACGCCAAGGTATGAATATTATGCTGTGACTGCCTGTCAAATTGAGAACCATAAATTATACTAAATTTTAAAATGTTATCCACAACATGTTACAAATTAGGTCAACTCTGAAGGTAAATTTTAAACTTTTATCTATTACACTAGATAAAGGTATTTCACACAATCATACACTCTCATCAAATAGCTCTG